CTATGTTTGGTATTATTGTGTAGTCATGGAAAACTTGTTACGGGAAATACAAGCGAACAGGTGAGACGGATTCATACCTTATTTTTATAGGGCATGTGGAAAAACATGAACGTATCGATTGATGGTTGATGACATGCGATGTTATGAATGAACGCTGCCATAGCGGTGATGTGAGTCGAGGGCTTCTGCTGCGTAGTTAATCATTCAATATGATAATACATTTTACTGGTAGGTGCATAATTTCATCCAGAGCAGAGTATAATAAATATAAGGGAACAAAGGTAGACCAGGGTACCTACAAATACATCTATCACAGCTGTTATACTATACTACAATACCTATGCAAGTAACCAAATCGCTTTAGCAAAAGTAAAATAAAGCGTGTTTTAAATTCACTCATTTGTGGGAAATTTCTAGTCATGATTTCTCATTTATCGTATGTGTGTAAATGAATAATGTATCTACAAAATTTTCCTAGGAAGTATTTTATGGCATAGAAATCAAACAACAAACCACTGTAAAGCAAAATACATTTATTTCCAAATATGCCTTGGTGGGGGTTCACAATCAATTTACCAGTTACAACAAAGATACATTCTACACGCGGACGGCAGTGTCGATCTTGGGCTGTGTGGCGGCGGAGTTGAGAGACTCGCAGCGGCAGCACCGCCAGGTGTTCGTGCTCGGCACCAGGTGCTCACTGCTCACGCACTCCAAGTGGTACTGCGACGCACAAAGACTGCATTTTATGGACGCGCAGCCCTCCATCGTACGGTTGCAGAAAGCACAATCCATCTTCACTAATTTTACTGTCAACAAAAATAATCCCGTCAAATTATTAGGTACCATCATATCAGTTCACTGCTGAACATAGGTCTCCCCAATGACATTCAGATAAACCCATTGCAAGCGATGCAGCTGCATCCAGCTGGATGACAAGAAACATCTTGTAACCTTAATTTGTTTCATTATAAAATTCTATCACTCCCAAAAAATATTGTGAAAAATATACTTACAATATTAAGATTCACTTATAAAATATATATTTTATTTGTTTTTATTCGAAAGGGGAAACTGTTTTATAATTTTTATGCGGTTTTAAGTAATGAGTGTATACGGTGTGACTGAAAAATTCAACTGGCAAAAAACGATCGCTGACAGAATTTTTAATTTTTATTTTTTATTCTTTATTTAAAATGATAACACGGAGGAGTTTTGTTACAATTATTCTGGTCAAGCACAAACAAATTTTTATCCAATTATCAGAAGGACAATGCATGAGGTCTTACTAAAAATATTTGCCGACGAAGTTACATTTCCGAGTTTCTGAGGCTTTTTCCGAATAATTTAATCAAAACGTCAAGTACATTATATGGATATTTTCCATTAAATATTTTTCAAGTGTGATATACAAATAATCACATTATTAAGTTTAGTAATCTAGTTTGTATTTCATCTGTTACACAAGTATTATTCTATCACTTGAATTAGATCTGTGCGGAGATAAAAAATTTATATTCGAAACTTTGTTAGTTATATGGAGATAAGTAACCTACTTTAGCAAAAGTAGTAGTTCACATTTTATAGTAAAATATCAGAAATGTTGCACATTAAGTGATGCATTGCAAAACGATTTTACCTAATACAATAAATAATATTAAAATTGCTACATAGTAAGTACTTAGATAAATGCTTAAACATTCCTGTAATAATATCTTAATTTATTTTCATCCTTGACATGGTTTTATTGCCAGGTAGACTAATTTTGAAAAGCTTTTAAGTAGGCTTTAATTTTAAAGGTTCCTTTTGAGTCCTTTACCTTGTTTATTCGTTCAGTTTAAGACATAATTGCTTTACTTGTGAACCTTTCAAAATTTAACCGAAACTCATTATGCCCGGGTTTCAGTTTAAGAATTTTGTAGATAGAAATTTTATATTCTAGGCCTAGAAAGCCTATTCTTGTTTACATACACGTCATGCTAATAAAATACATAGATGATTAAAAATGTAAATTATAAGTTAGGTCAATTACAGTGATATAAACAACAGTACTCGAGTGACTGCCTTGTTGGCCGAGTGGTCGCAAGTGCGACTGCTGGGCAAGGGGTCTCGGGTTCGATTCCCGGGTCGGGCAAAGTATTACTGGGTTTTAAAAAAATTCTTAGTAGTAGCACGGAGTCTGGAATTGTGCCCGGTCTATGGCAATAGGCTCACCTCCTATTACATGGGACTCATAACATAAATAATGAGAAGTGGGTGTTACATTGTACAGTGGTACCTATAATGTACACCTCTGCCTACCCCTTCGGGGATAAAAGGCGTGATGTTATGTATGTATGTATGTACTTGAGTGTGCTCTAATAAATCTGAGTACATGGTTGGAGAGTACATAATTGTGTGTCCATCAGAGATCCGACCCGTTTATTAGTTGAGCGGCCATGGTCAATGTTAGCAATTAATCTTGTGAGATGATGCACTTTAGCACTCACTATGCTATTCAACTACTTAGTAGCCTAGTAACCCACCCTTGTTTATACCTTGTCAATACAAATCATTCACGATTGTGACGTCAAAATAAAACTCCCAATCAAAGTTGAAACGAACCTTAAATACAAGGCCAAGCCTATAATACGTTAACGATAAAAATAGTTATCGATTTGCTCAAGATTTGCTCTTATTTTGGACGCAGAGACGGAATTATTATCCTCCTTAGATAGAAACTATGAGAAGTTACAGTTGCTATAATAATCTATGTCGGATGAGCTGTCTGTGTGCAAACTGTCACGCCATTATTTTTAAAATTAATCACTTAGGTTGAATTATATTTCCATCATTATTCTAAATAAAATAATTATAAAGTTAACTTTGCAACAATGCCTATATAGGTATAGATATATATATTTTTTAACTCGTCGAGTACCGTATTTATAGACACAATTAAAGAACAATAGATCGCGGTCACCGGTGACCGCCTGGTGTTTGACAGTTTAATGATGAGATAATGAGTAGATCCCTACAGTTGACTGCACGGTTGGTGCGGTGGCTGGGCAACCGGCTGCCGTGCAACGTGTCGCGGGTTCGATTCCCGCACGGGACAACACTTTGTATGATCTACAAATTGTTGTTTCGGGTCTGGGTGGCTTTGTGTATGTGAACTTGTATGTTTGTAAACGCACCCACGACACAGGAGAAAATCCTAGTGTGGGGCAACGTTTTTAAAAAGAAAAAAAAAAGTTTATATTCCCTGATCCCAATTTCATCTCGATCACTTCAGCCGTTTTGTCGTGAAAGAGTAACAAACACACACACATACATAATCACAAACTTTCGCATTTATAATATTAGTAGAATATTATGAAAGATACAAGTTATTAGTATTATTGAACCATTCAGTATCTGCAATGCATTATTAATTGTTTTTAAACCAAACAAACCAAAGCTCACGTGATATAACTACATAATGTTGACATGGCAAGCAGTCCGAGTTATTTGTTCCCTTATACATTTACGCGGAGCTCCATATTTCAAGAGCAACAGCTGAACATTTTACATTACAATGGAGAACAGACAAGAGGTGGGACCCAAAGGCTTTTCAACGTATTTTGGAGGCGTATTATTGTAAATTTGGTCTCACACCAACACTTCGCACTTGTTTACATACTTCACAAGTATTATCCAACACCTTTTATACCTAAATTAAATCCTTTCATGAATGTATTAAAATCCCTTGGAGCATTGCTGTCGTGTAACGTTGTTAGTGTTTTGGCTCTCTGCCAAAATGTACTACTGAATTTTATTTTACGCAAAAAGAATTATTTAGTTATGCAAATACGATTTTCTCAACGAAATAATACAGCACTTACTTTTATTTTACTTTTACTTTCATGTTTCATGATGGATAATTTATCTGAATCATATTTTAGTACCTACAATAATTCCATATTCGGATCTTCAAGAAAAGACCGTATCTACTTCTTTTTAGAAATTTGGAAGGCCAATAGGCCAATAATGCATTCGTAACTCCTAGTGTGTTGCGAAATTCATGATTCAAAAACATATAGTTCGCAGGAAAATAAATTAATCGACTAAATAATATATTATAGGTATTAACATTAACATTATTGCTAATAAATAATATGTTATTATTATATCTATTACACGATGACATAATTTAGGTGATTTTGATTAATTTGTAAAACAAGTACCTCTATAAATACCACCTTCTTACACGTTTTGCTAAGTATTGATTATATTTAACCTGTGGACCTAATAAAATAACATTTTGGCGCGAAATCAAATTATAAGTTCGTGTGTATTAAACAACACAATATAAACTGTATGCAATCTTTATTTTTATCTATTTATTGCGTACATACTAAGTATATTTTTTAACTTTCTATTATATTTTTTTACTGTTAACATTTTTGTACAAATCATTTTTTTAAATGTGTCTAACCACAGAATCTTGATTATCTATGTAAGTAAAGAATGGCGCGGTAAGAAAGCTTACTCTAAATAAATGAGATTAAACAAATTTCTTATTAAAACTTTTTACAAATCATATACTTTTTGCTTTTTTTCTCCACGTTATACTATTAATGGTGGTACACATGGTGATAACAAGCAATTAGTGACTACGTGAAAAATATACAACTGCTAAGTTTCTAAGCTAATCATATTCGTTTAAATATGTAAAATGTTCACATAATTATATTTATCATTAATTGTAATTTCTTTTTTATATTTAATATTTTTTTTAAATATCATTCAAATATATACTAAAAATTGTCTATGGTTTCATGCTCTTTTTTTATCAATGGTTGGTGGCAACACCGCGTTGGCGCGAAAAGGATTCGGGATGGTGGTCGAACCTTTGAGCGTAGAAAAAGGATATTATGCTTATTGTCAAAAGGAATTGTAAAACCAATAAAGAAAGAGTGCAGTTGTGAGTTAACCTGTGTTTAGTTTTCAAGTTCTAATGTAATTTGTGTTTGTTACAGACGGACTGGCGATGTCGGAGGTGCGCGGGTGCTGCGTTCGACCCCCGACTGGAGCGACACTGCCATCAGTGGCGAGCACCTGTGGTCGCCCACCTCAGTGTCCGGAGATTGTTGCTACGTCGGTGATGCCGAGTGCCAGGTAAAGACAAATCATATGTCAACTACTTATAACATATTAAATATGAGGGATTTTAACAGCCGGGTACAATCCATTGCAAGACTATGGGTATTTGGGTGGTATCCATATACCCCATCCCACCTCCACCCCATATACACCTTTATCAGATACGTTAAAATGGCACTTTAACAGGTTCATGTTTATTAAGGTCGTCGCACACCTAACAAGCAGGGCACCGGCATCCGGCACAGCTCCAACCCAGCAATTAACTCATTTAAATATGAACTTTAAATCGTATGACATATTTCATAATGTCAATATAAAAAAGCTGTAAGCCGCCGCCCGCACGCCGACGGTGCGCTTACAACCTTTTTGAATTGTTTTCAAAGAAGAAAACGCCGTGCTAGTGCCGTGCTTGAGCCATACCACAGCTGTGCTTACTAAGTGTGCGATAACCTTCAAACAGCACTGTTGCCCGGTTAAAAAATAGTAACTAAGTCGGCTCTTACGAACCCTACGCAAAAGGTAGTAGAACTGACAATAGTATATTACCATATACTTACAACATAGGTACAATAGAGAGATAATAAGTTACTCATGGTAGTAGTTAAAGGTTAAATTCATAAATTGCTTACACAAACTGAAAGCATAGACATATAGACACAGATTATAATAGAAAATAAGTAGTTTTTTTATATGTAAGTGGACGGCGTTAGACCACTAAGTATCTCACCTGGTGGTAAGCGATGATGCGGCCTAAGGTCGAGCACGTCTGCTCATAATAAGCAACTTATTCACTCGGTTTCTATATCCTACCTCCTTACTCTTACTCCCTTGAGATATTAAAGGGGTCTCATATCATGTAAATATTCCAAATGGATGTTTGTATAACCTAATGCCCTATCATGGCACTAGGTCATAGAAACAGTTAGTATTCAGTATTTACCCAATATTTGAATACAAATATTATGATAGTGTTAGCACGAGCTAGGAAACGCCTACCTAGAATCTAAACAGATTAGAATAACATTACAAAGCATAGGTATGAATATCCAGTAATAGTTTTTAGGTTATGAGTTAAGTATATATTCAGAATTAAGTGTAAGAAACTGCGTAAGTGCGAGTCGGACTCGTCCCACACATATCTTTTCATATCTAGCATTAGCGTAGCGCGTGCTAATTGTTAGTGTACATAATTTTGATGCGAAGTTACATGCTAGAGGTAGTCACATCCTGTAAATGTAAGGTCTTGTGGTAACCATCCATGACTACAATACGTCAATTGTGTGGATACGGTATCATGACGCAAATCTCTGTTTCACGCTCAAAATTGAATCCATACAATAGCCCACAAATCGGATGTTACTGGCGCCGGTCTCGTGTGTCGGTCGCAAACGTAAACTTGCCTTTAGTGTCTCTTCAAGATTACTCATATCTATTTAATGACTATTGAACGACCCACAATCGGTTGTAAACGACAGGGTAATTAATAATCTCCGCAATGCAGAAAATATTGCTTCTCAAAGAACTAAATACTTTTGTAAGGGCTTGTCAGCATTTTTTGGTTCAATTAAGTCAAGGATTTGCTATGAATAGTTCTAAGAAGTGTCTATAACGCAGTATTAATACCCGGTGGCTAGTAGATAATCTCATAAATGACTATATAGTATGGTAGTTATCGTTACCGGGCTATGAACTAAGCACTATGGGCAATATGGACATAAGCTGCGTCGCTAGTCGCCGATATCGGTCCGATCTATTCCATGTAATAGGGGGTGAGTCTATACACCGACTATAAATCTACGTCTATACTATATTAATTTATTAATTATTTTAAGTACTTCATCTAGTAATTGAAACTTGGTCACCACCAGGAGTTAACAAATACAATAGCTTATAAGCAAGAGATCGTAAGTTTTATAATCAGTTCAAGCAAAGGCCTTTCTGACTTGTTCTACAAATACAAATAATGTTATTTATTTTGTCAATCTAAGTAGATTTTTCTCTACTCTCAAATAAGACGTAGAAACAAAAATCCTCAGATACGTTTGTATGATAATGCCTAAAAAGTTTTTTTTTATAGAACAGCAATAAAAACTGTAGACCTTCATGCCAAAGCATATTTTTCTCATTGTTGAAGTTTAAAACGGGAACAGGGCAAGGACATCTCAATGAGAGACTTTGAAACAAATTCCAAAAGTATTTTTGAAAAAAAAAATACTTTCAAATCATAATTATACCTGCATCAGAATTGTCTAGATTATAAAGCATCCATTTCCTGTTATTTAACGTACATCAAATACTAAATACAGTATTTTGTACGCAGTCAAATAATAATAGAGACATAATGATGGGCTATTCGAACGAGGAAATAAAGTTATGCGTGGACAAAATTCTACACTTAGATTATGAATTTGACCTTTTCTCAACCTGATTATAAACGACGCTGAACATATCTAGGTACGGTAAACTTAACATGAATTTGACTAAATATTAATATTTTACATTATTGTTGGTAACTGCAGTAAATGCTATTTACTCTGCACCATACAAATTACTACGGACTATACGTTACGTTACTCGGACATTTCTAGTAAGATCTTTTTATCTTTGAGTTCTAACCAGTTGCCTACTAAAGTAGTACCTACGATTAAGTAGCACAGTGCCTTCAGAAAATCCCTAATTTGGTAAAATATGGCATAGACTTACCTAATATACATGAATTTGTTACTAAAACCGAAAAATAAGTTCCGATATAACTTAACGACGATAATAATGATGAAAGGTCTCAATCATGCGAAATTAAGTCAACGATCCAGAATTTTCCAATCTTGCTATTCTCATAGGACCATAAAGTTAATCTAGCGCACGTTGTTGGATTAAATGGAGAAAATGCTACTAAGACAGAAATATAGTGGCTTGGCTTTTTACTCTTATTTTTAGTCAAGGAACATGAAAATTTTATATTCTGCGTCATAAATAAAATTAAATCCTGACGTAACTTTACTTAATGATGCGTATATACTTAACTGCCGTACACGTTAAAAGCATTAGGCTTAATTTGACTACATAATTTCTGAAAATAATACTTACTGTTCCCGGCGATACTATAAAACAAAGCGTACCATAAAAGCAATATTAACATGAACTAAAAGTAAAAGCTTTTACAATTCAAATGACTACATTGTGACAGAAGAATCATCTTTGAATGACACGGTTATATTGAATAACAACAACACAATGAATCTAGTAAATTATGTGACGAGCTGAGTGAAGTAAATTACCTGGTGGTTTAATGAAATTTTACGCAGAAAATACGTAAACCGTCAAAACACGTTTTTTATTTTTCTACAGTTCTGTTATAGGAATCTCAGAGCAGTACAAAGATATATTTTTCTTTCAATCTTCCATTATTTATTTTTCTACTTTCTTTGGTAGGAACTTCTTTGTATCGCTATGAATAAAGGCATTAACATGAAAAATCTATTGAAGTTTACAGCATGATATAAAATATCTCGACTCGCGTATTACTTAAACAACGCTAGAAGAAATGTAATTTCCCCAACAACCATTAGCAAGTTTCCTGCCTATTATGTCGCAGGTCGGTTGTAGTCGTACATAAGATTAATGACCCGATGCCACCATTTTGTTGTGGCGATGACCTGTCACAGTGGGTGCAACAAAAGGGTGTCTCGCGAGCCTCATGAAAGCAATCAATATGTAATTGTAACACCCTCGTCATTTACTTCAGGACAACAAAAATACTTTGATGTGCTTGTTCCAGTACTTTGTTCTGTAACTTTTTCAAACTTGAGTAAAAGTTGCCATTTTGTCCCTAGCATCCTATCTTATGTGGGTACGTCCATAGTTAGATACCTTAATAAAAGTTTATCTTTGTTTCCGACCGTATCTATTTATAAGAATCTCGTGTCCCGAATTTAGAACATTTCACTGGGGATTATTGATTACCTAGATATTTCAGTTCGGTGTTACATTATCGGCAGTGAAACAATGCAGTTTACTGTTTCTATTATTTGATGTTCCAATTATAATACATTTCTTTTTTCAAACAATAGCATTGTATTCGTACTAAAAAAACTATACTTTAAAAAGTTTATATTGTAACAAAAAAAATATACCTACCTACAATACAAAACACACGTACTGTTGATTTATGATACAAACATGTAGCATGTATTTAGTAATACAGTACATACATTTACATAATTTATTATTATCAAGATAAATGTAATAAAAATTCGCAGTGGGTTATTCGCAAGACATTTTTGACGAGAATATTTATTTTAGGTCTAGTTTACAAATTCAGGAGCACCGCAGGACTAAGGTCACCGAGGCATTTACTAGGCGAACGTGCTCGGGTTACTAAAGTACCAGCTTGTAGACAATTTGCGTGTCCATAACACGACGACTATTTTTATTCCATGAAATAAAAACTAGTTGGTCATTTAACATTATTCCTCTACACAAAATTATAGTAGGGGACGTGATTGCATGCTAACCTATGATGCCGACTAACCAAACATAATTACTTGCCTGGCGCTACTAATGCTTGTAATTAAATGGTATAGCTACAATGTTCTGCGCTAATTGGATCTATTTAGTGAGCTATCATACACAGGACTCAAGTAGTTTTAATTAATTATTAATGACTTTTATTAAGATACCAAGTAATGTTATCAATGTAGGTAGTACATAGGTGATATCATTGCATTAGGCTTCAGTTTTATAATTCCGTGGTCTAAAAGCATGGATGTTTGCGTCCTATATATTATGTATGTAAATAGAAAGATTATGACCTATACACCCACAAAAATATGGGACTAGTAACATAATTAAGGAAAAGTGGTTCTATCAGGAAACAAATTCTAATGTCGAAATGTTAAAGTTCAATATAATTTTGATGTAATCATTGTTTAGACGAAGAAAACTCAAAATAAAATTTGTTTCAGAAACATGGGTCTCGTATGAAGTGTTCGGCATGCAAGATCGTCGCGCACACAGCATGTATCGACATACTAATGGACCGTGTGCAGTTCACGTGCAAGCCAACGTTCAGGGACGTGGGAGTCCGGCAGTACCGGGAGCAGACCATCACTCATCACCACTGGGTCCACCGCCGCTCAGAGAAGGGCAAGTGCAAGGCCTGCGGTAAGGTGAGGGCCGCAATACATGTTGCTTACGTCACCGGTCTATGTTGTGCTCTCATAAGGAAACGGCTGTTTGTTTAATGTTTGTTTATATCCAAATCTACCTTCTATGCCCATAGTAGTCGGGTCTATTTTGAGGATTTTTGTAATGTCATGAGAATAGATTTCTAGATAAACAGAAGCGAATTAGAGGACGGATAGATGGTTAAAACTTTACTGTGCATAAAAATTGCGTGTTCTTAATAGATCATAAGGTTATTACTATTTTAACTGTGCATGATAATGATAATGAACTCTTCATTCATTCAATATTTCACATTATTTGTTTACGACAGAATAATCATCAAGTAGATCTGTTATTATAGTTGCTAAAAATTAGAACGATTTACTTATTAGTTGGTTTCAATTTACTTACATTCTCAAAGTAATATTTATAGTGATTTATTTCGAGCAATGTGAGGAAAATAAAACCTTGTATTTCTGTACTTAAATAAAGTGACAAAGTATATTGCAGGCACTTAGGTATAATGTTGAACATAAACGATGTAGACAATAACTTTTCGTTAAGTAGGTATTACAGCCATTCGATTTAATAGCCATATGTGTCACTGTAAGTACCTAATAAATACCAACAGTATATAAATCATGATGTACAATAGGAAACCGTCACGCCAACAATATTTACTTGATTTATTTTTATAATGCATTGTTACATTCATTTTGAATACATATCAAGTCGATAGTATTTTTAATTTCATTTTCTGACATTTTTACATCAGTCTTAGATTAGCCATTAATATTTGAGCATTTTCGTATAATTGAATATTTGATTTGAATCACCAATTAATTGATAACATTGTGCACAGTAGGTAAATGCGTTTCTGATTTAGCTATTATTTAGAGTGCTAGTGGCTACCTAGTTAGACGCTGATAATATTATCAGGAAAATTAAATCAGCCGTTTTCATTATGATTGTGGTATATGGGTCAATTTGGTACTGTGATTAACCTGTGTGAGTGTTTATTTTATTGTTTCGTACTAGTTTTATCTAGGCCAGTATTCCACTGTCGTTAATAAATTATACTATACCTAGATATATGCCATTTATGACGTCATATACCTACGATAAATTGAAGTATTATGTATTTGGTTACTTTATGGTGGTAGAATACTGAACCTAAGCCCTTTGAAGTCATCATCTGTGTTAGCTACCACGTAATAGTGTTTTATCACATTCATTTCATTGCGCACACAATTTTAATTTTTTTTTTGCTATTAGCTGTTGGATACCTAAGAAGTAGTTATTCTTATAAACTGTTCAGTTTAAATATATCTTATTCTATAGATAGCTAAGATATTACAAAAAGAAACGGATATAGCTAAACGAAAAGATGAGACCAAATTACAATTACCGTAATGTATATTATTAGCTATAGTATTTACAATATACACATAATATTTATATTGATAACTTAAATCTAAAGATATTGTACTTCATGTTTGTGATATGTATCGATTACAGACAAAAATTGCCCCTGTATAATCTTGTCATGTTTGATTTCATCAGCGATGTGATAGCAATATTATTTTCTGAAGAAGCGTGAGAAATTTATAAAAGAAGTTACATACATACGTGAGCAAAAATGAATCTTTGAAATGTGTGTAACCTCCAAACTAGTTTACTAAATTCATGTGTCCGTGGTTGTTACGCTAAGGTTCATATTATGAAATAAAAAGTGGCCTTTGACTGAAAAAGTTAAAGTTAGCTCCCACGTGAAACTGGAGCGGGCGGCTAGTTTTTTATAAATATCGGGTTTTTCGATCACAAAAATTTCAATAGTAGTTATTGGGCTTGTGTCCACAGGGATCAAGCAATAAGTTTATTTTTTATTACCTAGTACTCGTAAAACCTGGCCAAGCCTTTGACTACCTCTTCGCAAAACAAAGGTGTAATATTATTTGTACGTACACTTGCAAGGACCAATTTTATTGTTTGAAATCAGTAGCAGCTGTGTAGATAAAAAAACGTAATATAATTTTCGCAGAAATTACAATTCCGATACTTTAATTTAATTTTCACTCTGAAAAGTACTGACAGAAATACTGAAACGGATTTCATACAATAAATAATTTATGAAAATATTTGTATAACGAATACAAGAACAACAATCATAATTTCCTTATTGTTTAGCCGTTTGAAGGACAGTACGTGAGTTAAATAATTTAAACGGAATCAGATTATGACAAATTCCGCATAACTGGGGCTCAAACGAAGGAAAGACATTGTAATGTATGTATTTTACTCAGTTGTTTTTATCTGTAACGAACTTTAAATGATAACGAACATTTTATGATATCTAAGTAAACAAACATAACATCAGGCCTTTTACCCCCGAAGGGGTAGGCAGAGGTGCACATTACGTCACTTAATGCCACTATACAATGTAACACCCACTTTTCACTATTTATGTTATGAGTCCCATGTAATAAGGGGTGAGCCTATCTATTGCCATATGTAGGGTACATTTACGGACTCCGTGCTACTACTGAGATTTTTTTTAAAACCCAGTAATACTTTGCCCGACTGGGGAATTGTAACCCCTTGCCCGGCAGTCGCACTTGCGACCACTCGGCCAATGAGGCAGTCATTTCATTTTGATATCTAAGTATTTCGTTGATAAAGACAATAATGCAAACTTGGATATAACCTTCCAGCTTATAAAAACCCCGCAACAGGTCAATATCATAATGATCGAAAGGATTACTCATGAATAAATAACAATAGGACATTATATACCTAGTAATAATTTACTTTGTTGTATAATTCCACGCTTTACCAGACGCTCAATTAATTTTTGAAGGCCAGAGAAATTGATACTTGTGTCAGTGGTACATCTGGGGAATACGCGATTAGTTAATTACAGGATCAATGTAGTCTGTAACAGAACCTAACGCTTAGTAATTACTCACATACCTACGTATAAGCTTAACGTGGATTAATATAGGGTCTGATTAATAGTTAATGGTCCTTGCTACAATTAAATGAGCTAGGTCGATCATCTCCTCCACCGGAGCATTCATTAATATGTATGGTGTTCGCTGCGAGTGGTCGAGATGGTGCCGTGTAATCACAATTGTGGAAGTTAGCCACCAGCCACCGGACGTTACTATTACATTAAAGAGTACTCAGACCACTTAATTGAGTCTTTAATTATTTAAGAAATCGATAAAGACCATTGTGTTCGTCGAGTAGCTATTTAATGGGCAAACTTTTTCATTGTGTACCTACGTATTTTATTCGACGACTATTGGAGGTTAATTACACAGTAAAACGTGGGTTATGGCAAACAAACGTTTAAAGTCGTAATGCCGTATATTTTGCTAGGTAATCGTCACGGACGTATCCTGGGTAAGCACCCGTCCGCATTCAACATCATAAAAACGAATGGTCTTGATGGAGATTAAGACAGTTTTAATTAAAATTTTGAAAACTTTTATGCCAAGCAGTTTTATGAGACATGAAAACTGATTGCAGCTCATATATTAACATTACTTATTAGGTACTACTTCATTGGTATTTTATGAAGTGTAGACAAAAGGATTCGTGTAGGTCCTTTTGTGACAGAGTCAACAACAATAATATATGTATAACAGGACTCTATTCTAACTTGTCACTTAGCTACATACGTATAAAATAAATAATTCCACCATTAATAAAATATATATGAAAGTCCCATGTAGGTTATTTTACGATAAAAGTTATAAATATACAAGTGAACTACCACGTAGCGGAAGTGTTGTATTACCATAGCAAACAGTACCGAACTACGAAAAAAGTTGGTACCGTGCTACGAAAATAAAAAGGTCACACTGACGGATAACTTTTTTTTACCCGGCTTGCTAGAGTTGCGAAACGTCCGGCTTTGGCGGACATGTTTTGACTTTTACATCAGCTGAAATGGTAAAGCTCGAATGAAAAGGTCCACCTATTTTTAAATAGACATATATGTATACGACCAACCTACTACAGAACTCTGTAAAACTCCACATGATTGTGGCAAATGATTTTCATATATACATTATGTACAACCCGATCAGTGTTTAATATAAAATTCATGCCTCCCAATAAAACCAACGTATCAAAATTGTTTTGGAGGACTTTGTAAATGTTTTATGGACTTTGGTAAAAAGCTGAACCATTAAACGACTTTTTAATTAGTTAAGCCTTGATACTCTGATGCCTTGTAAACCCTAAAAACTCGTACATAATAAACAACTGTAAAATCGAATTAGACCGTCTTCAAACTGTCGAACCCCGAATAAGACGTCAAAATTGAGGCTCTAAGTTAGCATATTCGCATATATCTGTCTAATGTAATCCAGATTAGCCTAGTACATTCCCTCTATCTCCTTGAGATCGTGTACGTTTGCCTGACAGCTGCTCGGTTCTTGACACGTTTTAGTGTAATTAGGATAGTTCTAACCTGGATAGGTTAGCTTGTAGCTTGTGGAAATTAGAATTCCAAATAAATAGAAACTTGTTAGTTAAGGTTTACCGATCTAATCACTAACCTAACACATTCAGTTTCAATGCATACTACTTGTATTCTTCGATTTTCAATTCTCTAGCTCTATTACTCCTAAGGGCCAATGGGGGTGTTATTATTGCCTATAGTCGCAAAACATTATAACAGTTTGTAATACTTGCATACGATTAGTAATGTTCCTTAGTAAAATTCTATGTACACCTGTTGGAGTCTCAGTTTGAACAATCCAATTACTTAATAGCATTGAATTAGAGATAAAGTTTTAAAAAGCTTAATTAAGTTACCCCTACAGTTAACTTTTAAACAAAGTATCCTTTGTATAGATGCGATTTTCGATTATAGTTGCTAACTTTCCTAAATGTGATATTATCGCCAGCCACAAGCCCTCCATTCAAATAATTTGGCAATGTTATCTCTAAGCATAAATAGATAAGTTAACGAACGTTATTATATATTAGTTGATTTACGGTATAGTAACGAATAGTTTCAGTGTGTACCTACTGGTTGGACCTAAATATTGTATGATATAACAGAGTAGCTTTTAGGTGGACGCAGTGCGGTGTAGCCGCGTGTTTAATGAAGTGACTGTGGTGCTTACGGCTGGCGGCCCTCACCCGGGGCGCCACGCGGTTCTGTCAAATGATTTGCATCTACATCTACATATGTAACACGAATAACGTCCGAGCCCGACATCGCATGCGACACGTTACCAACTCATGACACATGAACGCCGCGTCGTGTCGGTCGCGTCGGTCAGGCAGGCCGCGCTTTCGCTCAACGCGAAATTAAAACTTCATTTTTAATGATGTGTTACCATATTGCTCGCATCGTACTTGTACAGCCTGCACTCTGCACAATATTGAAAAACAAACATTTGTACGTTGTGTTTTGTGGTTGTTCATTACTATTGTTGGTTTAATGTTATATTTTATACATTAAAAACGCTTTGCGTGTAGGTTTATTACTTGATTTACCAAGCTTTTAGCTGTTAGCGCTGTTGTTATTCAGATTCATTTGTTATTATCAAAGGTTAATGACGTGAATAGTTTAATCCGACAACTGCTAATTTATTTAGTTAATGTTTGGTGTTTTGTAATGCCACGACATAGTCTTGTATTGGTTTCATGAATTCATGGTAGAGAGGAGTATCATAATATCATTTGTTTTAACATTTATTGTAACTGTGTTAATTTTATGTTGCTATTGTGGCTTAATTTGTGTGTGTCACTGATTCATTGCATGTGTGTTGCATGGTTGTTTTGTTGTCACAGTCATTCCGGCGCAGCTGCTGTCGGTGGTGCATACCAACTCAGGACACTGTAGACAAGGCTATAGGAGTAGACAATGGTGAAATTGTGAATGTGCGTATCCCAATATGTTGCTCGCAGGTGGAGGCCAGGTGCTCAGTACAGGACGGAATTATCTTGTTACACCTGTATTCCTGAAATGAGTTTATTATTGGCTTTTATTGAACAAAAGCAAATGAAAATTTATTATCTTAGTAAGAGCAATATTAAAGAAACATCTGTATTAGGTATTTCGTGAATTTCTCGTTTAACAAAACTTTTTCAAAGTTATTATGTATGCCGCTTTATTTATATTGAAACTAAGAAACTAATTTCGGGAATGTTGGTAATGAATAAAATATCCTACCTGTATATTAATTGTTGCTTGCTTTTTGTTAGGAAATCGTAGTAAGCTAACAGATTTGTTTATACATGTGTTATTGTTCAGAATTTGTTCTTATTTGATGTTTTCTTAACAGTCGCTGCAGGCTAAACTATCATTTAGCTCGAAGGAAATCGTTGCGTTGACTTGTTCGTGGTGTAAAGACGCCTACCACAACAAAGAAAGTTGTTTCAATCTCCAGCGGATAGGAGAAGAATGCTCATTAGGTACAGTATTAACGATTCAAAACTTTTGTCATTATAATATCGCTTTGTTCTTTGAAATAATACAATTTTACTTTTCCTTTAATAGGATCGCAAAATAATATAATAGTACCGCCGTCATGGATCGTCAAGTTGCCAAGAAGAGGTAGTTTTAAGTCATCGCTAAGGAAATCGCCTAAGAAAAAAAGTGCTTCCAAGAAAAAAGGAAAAGATTCTAAAAATGAACAGAAAACGTTCGTAATTAAGCCAATTCCCACTGCGAGCGTAAAGCCAGTACTAGTTTTTATAAATCCGAAAAGTGGAGGCAACCAGGGAGCGAAGTTGTTGCAGAAGTTCCAATGGCTACTGAATCCACGACAAGTATTTGATCTCACACAGGGTGGACCAGGACCTGGGTATGTTATTATTTAGCAAATCATTACAGCACAAACATAATTTATTATCTACTGAAACTACTACTTTCCCTAACAAAACGTCCCCTTAAAAGGTTCTCTAATAAAAACGACGACATCAACAGGTCACTAAACTCTAAAACGAAAGGAAATACAATCAAAGTAATGACAATCATTTTCCAAATCGAGTGCCTCCGGTACATTGTTTAGCATAAAGAGACAAGGGGCAATAAGAATTAGATAATCTGTGCAGAATGGTAGCACAAACTACCTCCGCCGGCCGACCTGACAATGCCAATAATAGGTCTGACCCATTAAAATGTAAGGCCGGTATGGTCTGGTTGCATCATTCGCCTTGTTTAGTCTTAACAAAACGTTCTGTAGGACGTCATACTAATGGGGCTGGGACGTGGGGGAACCTCCTTGTCATCTTAACGTTTACACCTCTAACACTATTAATACAGCTCCTTTTTGAGTTTTAGGTCAGTTTTCTGGTTATTTATTACTATGTTTCGGTATTACAGAGTTGTGATTTTTACTTTTTCTGACTTAAAAAAAAACGTTGATCATACCTTTACTTCCATTAAATGAACTTAAGAAATACTCAGAAAAAATCAAATTCACTAAAAAAATGATTTACTTGAACAACCCCATTCAATTACGTAATTCTACTTTATTAACCCCAAAATTAAGTTCTTTTAAAATGTTCGTATGTATATTGTTTTTATAGTAAATGTAGAATTTACATAATAGTTTCATTTCAGCTTGGAGCTATTTCGCAAGGTGCCCAACCTGCGCGTGCTGGCATGCGGTGGCGATGGCACTGTGGGCTGGGTGCTGAGCGTGCTCGACCGCATCGGGACACGGCCCGCTGTCGGTGTCCTACCGCTCGGCACTGGGAACGACCTCGCGCGAGCTCTTGGCTGGGGTGGCGTAAGTAACTTAATGATGTTTTTGTTATTCATAATTTATTACATATACCTCTACATTCGTCAGTATGAGTTGAGAAAATCAAAAGAAAAGGTATACCTATGCTATGAATATGCAAATGCTATTATTACTCGATGTCGCTTGATGTACGACAATGTGTTTTAACGAGGCCATAAACAAACTTTATTACATTGTTCATGAAAATGTTACTAGTCTGCAAAACAACAAACAAACTCCGTTCAGACTCCGGATTTGTGCAATATTCTTTTATTGTTATGCTTCTCAAATGTTCCAACATTTTCACCCTCGTTGTGTTTATTCGCCGATAATTATCAAATAACCGCATAATTTCCTTTTACTCTTTGCGCAATGTATTTAAGATCGTACCCTTTTGCTCTAAATATTTGTTAAACACATAGTACGTAGTATTAAATAAGAATTATTATAGTATTACGCCAGCGCAAAAAATTCGTAGTAAATATAACAAACCGAAGGCTTTTGTTTCAGCCAATGTTTAAACTTAACCAAATAAAGCCTTAGGAGCTTTAAACTAATAATAACAAACTAATTCTAACATTTTGATCATGTAAAAACATTGAGGCATACTGACTTCTACAAATAAACTAATTAGGAGCGAAATAAGTTGCGGTGGAAGTAAACAAGATTGTACTTAAGTAAATCTCCTTAAATGGCGGCGCCGAGGTAAGAAGTCTTACGCTTGGCTTGCTGAGGCAACAAGGCTAACGCATCAGCTTTATACCGCGAACAAACAACAATACCTACGGATTGGCGTGTTAGAAAGAGCTACAACAGCGCTACATTGTTATAAAATTACCCCTACTAATATTGATGATAACATTACGCAGCTTTGCATTTACCCAACGGTTATTATATTGGTGTCCACCCTATAAACGTACCGTACAGGCGAGATTAGCGTAATCATTATCATTTAGGCAACAGGAATTAAGGTCGCTTACATATAAAATTTCTAGTTTGTTGAATATAAAATATTAAATAGGTACTAAGGGGATTAAATTGATAGGGTAGTATATTAAATGCTATCAAGATGTACTTGTTTGTGTATAATTTAAAATTACTTTAGGTAAAATGTATTGTAATCTTTCATGGAAATTAGTATTTGATGGATACAGCAACCGTAAAAGTTAATGTGGAAACTAAGTAAAAACATTGAACTTATTGTTTGCTGAATACAAAAGGCCTTGTAAATTTAACAAGGAGACAATAATAATTTGGATATGTTTGAAACGATATTATTACAATAAAATATGAAATTGATCTATCCATAGTTGGATGACTTATAAAACATGCCTACTTTTCAAATAATAAAAGTACGAGGCGTGTGGTAAACGCGTAAAGAATTGAGTTCATAGCACTTCAAATGTCTATTTTGTGTCACCTGTATCAAATATTTTAGTACCGCTGGGTCCCTAATCAGCCATTTGAAAAAGTAACGAAGTACTGAATAAGTAAATGTGTATTTATCACCCGTCAATTACCCCAGTACTCGCCCCAAATCCCACTTGTATCGCAACAGTCGTTTGTCTGGAATACTTATTTAATATTCATTAGTACTTTAATCTACATAGTTATTCTATGATGGCAATGTTTTCGGCTCACCTAGGAAAATGGGCATTTTAGGCAACACCAAATAACAATACATCCAACTGAAAAGGTAAAAAACCTACTTGAGGTTTGATTTAGCTGAATGTAGCTTATTGCCTTCGAAACTGTACATTTTTCAGCCTGCATTCTAAAACCTTATGTTTTTTCAATGTAATTAAGAAAAACATAGCGCTCATCACCGTTTGTGTAAATTCCCACGCAATGTGTGAGTCAGTAGAGCGAAATAGGTTACACAAAGTTGAATTAGCATTGCTTTTCACCCTCGAACCTATATTTTAATGCTATACAAATTGGTTTTTCGATTTTCGACGGCGGCGACGTAGATAAAGGGCTTAAACCTAAAATCTGGGACACTTTTACTTGGTTTCCTCGGAAATTGCTTTAAGGATTGTCTTCAATCTTGTTTGCTTTGTTCTAGGGTTACGAAGATGAACCAATTTCGAAAATTTTGGCGAATATCGGTGAGAGTGATACGGTGTTGCTGGACCGATGGGAGCTGAGCGTGGTACCTAACACTGCAGCTGCCGGAGAAGACACCAGTAATGCGAAGCCAGAACTACCACTCAACGTCGTTAATAATTACTTCTCATTTGGCGTTGATGCTCACATAGCTTTAGAATTTCACGAAGCGAGAGGTGAGTTGGCAAAATATAGGTACTATTTTAATTGTTATCCCATGTACTTACATACAAAGTGAAATAGAATTTTGCATTCTGAATTTTTGTGTTGCTATTTATTTCTATTTCGCAATAAAAAACTTAGACCGACTGTGGAAACGGTCCACCCATTTTTATTATTATGTTAGAAACGAATTCATCACAATTAAAGCTATTCTGTAGTCTGTTCATCATTTTTGTTTTATTGGCCTTGCCATTAAGCTAAGGAAGCAAGTCCATGATAGTTTAATAATATTCCTAAGGTCTTTGAATAATACTGCTGCTATTATGCTCCTGGTTTTAGTCAATTTCCTCTTTCTGTTTAAATTCTTACTTCATCTCCGTCTGAGGTCATCGCAATTTTTATCTAGCTATTATTTTATATATAAAAATCTAAATAATTTTCCTCAAGTTTACTGTTTCCTACAACGTTTTTAGTATATTTAAGTTTACTTTAACTTAATAAACATACTGGTTCTATTCTACACATTTCTATTTATATTTAACCTTGTTATTACGCGACCTAAATGTTTTTGGAATTGTTGTTTGTTAGTATCATAAATAAAGCCAAGTTGTATTAGTAGTAGTACTGGGTATTTGGCAAAAGATAGAGACAAAATTAATAACGCAACTGAACGAAAAGTTGTATATATTGTAAGAACTCATCGGCCTACGACAATAAATAGGCAAGCTGTTGCATCGCCGCACCTAAAACTTTGAACTGAAGACCAATAAAGAAGAATTTCGAGCAATAGCGTGAATTATAAGGCTCACATTTTGTATGTCAGAGTGGTATGCAAAAATAAACCCATTGACCTCTTTGCATTACCACAACTTAGTCATGCACGAGGCATATGCTGACACGTATACTGTGCTGTATAATAACAGTCTCCAAGTAATTATCCCTACTTACCATAAAACACTACAACCACGAACAAGTACACGTTATAATTAGCTTAATAACAACTTTTATGAAATAGCAGTTATTTTGTAAGCTCCTTATATTATTACCTACAACTAATTCTGTTAGGCAGATCACAAAGCAATTATGGTTCACAAGACTATTTTAGTTTTACTGAATGTAGGTTTCACGTTTATAAACTGTAGTGAGCCTCTCTCGCTCATCAAACTTTGTGAGAACTCATTAGGCGCTAGTTAGCAATTCGGGCGGGTTTATGCGACCGTCTTGTATAAAGTATTTTTCTTATGAATACCAAAATCCTTGAGTTAGTTCTTACTTAGCTAAGTACTTAATCATTTCGCTTTTAGTTCCACGATTGACTGGCTGCCTTGTTTAATAAATAGGCACCTAAAAGGTCAATATGTTAGATCTTGTAGCACCCAATTTTCTTCACTATTTTCTAGTTTCTACATACTCGAATGTAAAGTGCGGATAACATAATCTGTGCTAAATAATTGTGTTTGTGTTTACAATAACAAGTTATGATACAGTTTATTGTTTGTACATAGTTCTGTTTACCATAAACACATGTCTTTTTGGCTGGAACACAGAGGCGCACCCAGAAAAGTTCAACTCTCGAATAAGAAATAAGCTGTTCTACGGTACTGCCGGAGGGAAGGATCTCATGCAGCGCAAGTGGAAGGGTCTTGCCGAGTTCGTCACGATGGAGTGCGACGGCAAGGACCTGACGCCAGTGCTCCGGGAGCACAAAGTTCATGCCATTGTCTTCTTAAACATTCCAAGGTCAGAACAAATCTCATTTATGAAAGTGTATTCGTATTTTCTACATGTACAAGTTACAACCCAACTGTCGACTACATAATGCATGAAAGAAGTTCTGTCATTTGCGAAATTGCTAAAAGCAATTTTCTTATAGCATCGTTTTAAATAAAAAATACAAAGTGATCCATAATACAGAAATCTATTTATTTATTATCCATTTTAATAGAGGAAAATAAAAACTTTCAGTAGATACGCGAACATCTTCAAACTTTACGATAGCTATCGTATAATAATTTATAAGCTTAGCAACTGTGAATGTTTTTGCGTCTAGTCAAAATACATTATAAGTAGGTATTGACATGTCTTTATTGTTTACAGCTACGGTGGTGGGACGCACCCTTGGAACAAGTCAGGGGGAGCCTTTGAACCCTCCACTGAAGACGGCTTAATAGAAGTAGTCGGATTAACCACTTATCAATTGGTAAGTCGGTGTCAGATCCATCTTTGAAGTGTTTCTTACACGAGTACTTTGTACTACGTTTAATCTCAGCCTATTACAAAATCAATACAATTTCTATAAACGTGCCACATCACATACAGAAATACGAGTGAATTTTTCTCAGTAGGTATAAAGTTATTAGTTTATCTATAGGAACCCTTACCTTTGCCCATCCCGTGGGTGGGTATAATCCTGCTTGTCGTTTATTGCCAGACCCACGCGTACAAATAGGTTATTATAGTCACAGAGTCCGTTCAATTTGGATTTCGTTTTTTACTATTGATTTCTTGTTATTTCATAGGAGTTCTTTAAAGTTTAAAGCTATTTTGTCATTTATAACGTTGCAACTTTTATTATATTTAATAATATTTTTCTTACAAATAAGAAGCAGCTAGCAATTTAATCTCGATTTACTTTAAAAATATTCATATTCTCCTATTACGAAAACGATGCACAATGTTTTAGAAACTACTAGTGCATCGTAGAAAATATTATAAGAATAAATTCCGCATACAAACAGCGGAATTAAATAGCAATATTGCAGTAGCCAGTAAATTGCTCCTTAGAAACTAGTTCAGGGATACCTCGTACGTATGTATGTACCTAATATTATATAATGTGTAACGAAGAGATATTCTGTAATCTTGTTGAGAGGAAGAAGAGGTTTTCTACGGTAAAGGTCGTAGGTCCCAACTATTTAAGCTAAGTAATATTAATGGCTGATGTCATCTTGACAGCTTACTTTGTTCTTCCAAATCTTATCTTGTTATATATGGATTTTATAATTTTTCTAATGAAAAGTTAAGCCATTCAAAGTAGTTTACAGAATAGGTCAAATTTATAGGATGTTTTTTGTTATTAGCTTTATAAAATGAGTCTGTTGAGATGTGAAAGCACTAAACTGATTGGTGCATAATTCCTATACAGCCGTTATTACAAGCGGGAGGACACGGCACCTGCATCACTCAATGCAAGACTGCGAAAATCGTGACAACGAAGGTCATACCAATGCAAGTTGATGGGGAGGCGTGTCGTCTGGCGCCCTCTGTCATCACTCTCTCACGGCTCAATCAGGCCACAATGCTCGCCAAGAAGAAACCAGGCCGAACCATCGCCCCGTAAGTTTTTTTATGGCACACACCAACTATCTAGCAGACGGATCACCTGGTGGTAAACAATCTGCCCAATAGATACCGCAACACCAGAGGAATTACAAGTGAGTACTCGAGTAGCCCCCCTTTTAGGAATTGGGGATAGGTGGAGAAGAAATTGGGCCTTCATAAATATTACGGAAGCCTTATTTCACGCTGATTTTCTGTGAAGCCGTGTTACAACTGTGATCGAGTCATGCCAAAGCATGGCTCTTCCACATTAAGTAGGTATTTCAAATGTTTCCATCAATTCGTAATAAAACCATCAACAATCTATTGATTTCTAAATTAGACCACAGGGACTTAACCGCCTTTTTCGATCGTTGGTATTTTGCGGAAAAATATCTGAATATTGTAAAACGGAACCCGATATCCTAAAATTAGATTTGTTGCTTCAACTTTTGGAAGTTTGAAGTTCATAGCCGTGCTTGCCCATTTAATGGATTCAAATCGAAAATAAACCTGGCACGGGAATGTTTAGAATAAATAGTATAGAAATAGTTTTAGAATAAATAGTATCTAAGGCAGCTAAGACCTAAATATATTTGTTGCAGTCAAACTACAATGGACAAACTCACCCTCACAGTGAATCTCATAACGATGGCTGATTATGAGCGACATCATTACGACAAGGAATTACTCGCAAAGACAGGTAACAAATTTAATTAAGCAATCCTTCAGTACCTACAGGTTAATTGATTAAACCAACAAAACTTCGAAGCCTTGACAGTGTTAACTTAAGAAATTGTATTATACCTACGTGCTATGATCATGCGTGCCGAAACTCGAAAACAAAGTTAAGCATTTAACTACTGCGTTTGAATTTAACCAGAAAAGTTTTATTGATGCCGATAAGATAAATCGACATTAAGGTTTGAATTCATTTGAACTGGAAAAGCCCCGCTGAGCTTTACGTTCACTTGTTTATTTCGCATCGATAGTTAGCGCCGAGTTAAATTCGATATCTGTTGTTTTCCTCGACGAGTACCGATCGACGCTAACCTACTCCACTCGAATACTTGCAACACAACATTTTAGCTCGCTACGGAAACTGTATGCTGCTTTTAACAACTTTAAACAGTGTTAAATTAAACACTTCAGTTAGCATTTGCTATTTTTCTATTAGGACGACTTCTATGGCATGTGCTGTGTGACTTGGTAATTAAATCCATTAATTTTGGCATTCACATATTATACGAATGTGAAATTTAATAAAGACTAAGGTTAAATAAATTTAGATAATCCTACTTCAGTATTGACAAAGATTAAGCCCTACTAACACTCATCCTAAACAGGAAAATACTCTGTTAAGAGCTAAAGTCCTTTGATCCCGCGGACTTTGTAAAAAAACAATGAATAAACAACCGCTGAAAGCAGCCAGTTAATGTACGTATAATGAAGTTCGTTTCAGAGTCAAAGTTTTAATGTAAAACCTTGTTGTGCTCTGTTTAAGGATGAGCTGTTTAAATTCACTTATAAATAATTAAATCTGATGACGTAAAGTTTTATAGTCTATCTCATTATTCTATTCTAACACTATCTAATATCCAAGACACACCTATAAAAATAGAATAGGACAATATAACCGTATTTAAAACTTTAATAAAAATAATCGTTCTCCGGTAGTCGAAATGCCAATAAATCTGATGGCAGATAAATTAATTTGTCCGGAAACTGATGAATGGACGTGGGGAATTTGGATTGCAGAGAGAAATTATGCGACAGACATTCTGTACATTGTAAATCATTGTAGCCTAGGTTCATTTAACATTTAACCGAGTGTCGATTAAAGTAATTTGTTTTGTTACAGCGGAACAGGTCGGCACTTTAGACGTGAACCCTGCTGCCGACTTAGAACAAATGCGCGGCCTCATTCAGAACATGATCAAAGAATCTCAAGCGTACTCGAACCTCACCGACTGGTGGTTTGTCGACTGTGAGTTTTTCTCGTTCCTTCCTTTGAGATGTATGTTCGAGCCACTTTCACATTTCTATACCTGGCATGTTGGAGAGAGCAACCTATGTTTTTCTGTATATACCTATCTCGATTTCCTGTATATGCCTAAACTTTGAGCTTGGAACACAACAAGACTCATTTTTGCTTAAGGGCACGAGTGGAAGACAATATAAAATTATAAAACAAACTCTTCAACTCATGGAAAACAAATGCTTATCTAACATAATGCTTGTATTCAGCTCCTCCCAAGTTAAAGAGCCTCTCTGAGGAGAACGGAAGGCAAACATGTCCTCTCGTGTTCCCATTATTTTTAAAGTATGTCAAGAGTATTTCTCATGCTTATTTTCTTTTAACTTTGCATCTGTATGAAAGTACCTTTTATAATTTTCGTTACATATTCGTTGTATAAATACAGAATTACCCTTTACCGTACCTTTCGCACAGGTAGAAAGGTTATATTTACAAGTTGTACGATTGAATGAAAAGAATTTGGGTTATATTATACCTATCTGCAATCATTCGGAAAAAATGTTTTATGTGAACAATAATGTAAACGAACCCGCCACGTACCTACTTGTTCAGTTTTATTTAGAAATACTGAGAAAATATTTGTAAAGCTCTGGGTAGGTATACATTCTAAATCGCGAGCTTTACTTTCAAAAGGTTTTTGAATCTCATTATGAAAACATTAGTAGGCAGAGCGGCTGCTAGGAATGAAGTATTACAATTGTGGGTAATTTTCCTTTAGCTGTGACAGCGGAGAGGTTCTTCCGTATAGACAAGGCGCAGGAGAACTTGCACTACCCGGCGGACATCGGGCACGACAACATGTACATCCTGGACGCGGCGCCGCACACGCCGCACACGCCCGACACCGAGTCCACGGCGCAGCCCGACACCACCGCCACCGCCTCGCTCGAGCGCACCGCCGCCTCCGTCTCGCTCGACACCACCACCGGCCTCTCCGTCTCCCTCGACATCTCGCAGAGTGTCGACACGCCCAGTGCTGCTGTCTCGCTTGATGTGCCTGAATCTCATCCTTGGTGAGTTTTCTTAAGTTTTTTATACCACGACGATGGCAAAGTTCTCTCTTAGTCAGACATTTATTGCAGAAGTTACGTCGTCGTCATTTATCTACATGCACGATTCTTCTTGAAATATAATGACTTTTGGACCTACAGTATAATTTATAGAACTGAAAAAGCAAGATACCAAAACATTTCTAATTTCAAAACGCAAGTGTTCGCACACGTGAACGACTCGCTGGATTGCACCATTTAATCTATACTCTCGTGTGACGGCAAACGAAACCAACTGCCCGGACGGTATTGCTATTAAACCGCCCTCTGCGTGAAATTGAACATTCCGAACAAAGCCGGAAAGTACATTTAATTCAATATATAATAAGTACTTAAAGTAATTGGATATTTGTGGATTTTTTGTGTTACCCGTTTTATACCAAAGTAATTGTTTTTAAAACTGATTAACCTTATCCCTCTTGACGTCAGTTATGGCCTTCACCAACACTAATCCACTTGAATTCGCAACTCTTCAAACTCAGTCTATCCGACAAAGCAAGGAGCTACTTAAACAAAATCCGATTTCAAATAATTCTGGGTAACTTCACGCGTGGCTTGCGATCTCATTCAGATTTTTTGCTGACTTCCTTTTGGGAAATAAAGATGCTAGAAATTTTTCGTTTACATAAACGTATTTGTAAAATTAGATCTTAGGGAATTTGTTTTGTGTTCTGAAAGTAAAACGTTTTTATATCTAATCATATTTTATTTACATAGTGAATCGGGTTTTGGTAGTCCCGCACGGTCTTCAGAAGAGTTGCTGTCGCCTCAGACGCCGCCACCAAACACGGTACCGACAGCCCCAACGACGCCAGTGTCGGTGCGGCCGCCCTCGCCGATACCACCGACCCCTACAAGTCCGGGTACAGGGCCGCCCGCTCCACTGAGCCCGGCGGTGGTACAAACCGAGCCATTATCTCCACCACTATGTACTAGCCCACCCGCCAAAGACCACGAACCTACGACTGATTCAATAGCGCGGTTTAAAACGTGAGTACGTTCACCTTTGAAATCCAACCACGCCATAGTGTGCGCATAGATTTAGATGCAAATGTTTGAGCGCTTCTGTAATGCCGCGCTGTAATAAATGGGACAGCTGTGTTCCAACATTGATCCGCATATCTAGCTCTGGACACGATAACTTTGAAGCAGCCTTCTCGGGACACCAACAGGAAATATTAAATTAATTAACAAGGAAGAGACAAAGTCTCTTTGCATAATGTTTAGTTTTAGTATAATAGCACTGTGTTATTAGATAGCCAACTAGCAAATAATAAATAATTTCACCGGAGAATAGAATTCTGTATTAATGAATTCTTTAGTAAGTGCACAATAACTTGGTTAGTCATCGGGTGGATGACGGGACCAGTGAGGATGTAGATACTACCTATAACCTTGTGTGATCACTATTCTGTTAGGGGTATCGCACAAGTATGAGCATTGGGGCACGATGCACTCTGGTTTGAAACTGAAATCTGCACTCTATCTCTTCTCTCTTCTATTGCATGCAGCATTCATGAAAAATTGTTTGGACTTGAGCAAGAAGTGTTTGGCTATAGGTGAGACTTACTTAGACGTAATAGCTATAGAATTAGTTCTTAGAGTTTCAGCTTCATCTCCATTCATATGTGCTCCTTTATCTTTCATGAATTTCATATTCATAACATGTACCATTATCAAAAAGCAACCCCAATTTAAAATGGGAACAAAACATAAGCGTTTGTAGTAATTTATTTTAAAATGGCATTTATTTTATAAGTAAATGAAATTATTTGTTCGTTTCATTCATTATATCGTAGTATGGATAGTTATTAAAGCTAACTCGACCTAATTTTATTGATACTACGAATTCTAACAATTTGCTAATAAATATCCACAAAATCCCTCTAGAAAGCATTCTTATCTCGTTTCCCATCTTTGAACGCGACAGTCGAGCGGCCAGACTTACAAAACGTTTAATTTTATTTATCTTCTAAAAACTTGTTCAGTACTTACAGAACAAAGTAAAACCTTGGCATTGTTTCAGAAATTTATTGGAAAAAACATCTGATGCCCTGCTCAAAGCGGCCAAAGTCGGTGATCTGAAAATGGTGAGGAATTCATTCAAAGATATTTTCTTATTTTTATTTCATTTTCCTGATGGAAGAACAAAGTATAAAAATATTTACATCCGATTATAATATCTCGTGTAATGTTTTCAGATAGGTACTGAAAATAATTTGTTATGATTTATGAAACATTCTCGGCTACTCGTTTTTTATTGAAAGACAAATTGATTTAACACGGTGAAAAAATACTCATAGAAGTTAGGTATTCGCATCTCGATGAAAGTAATTGATAGATAGTGACTGATTTAGTCTGTGACTATTTCATTCTAGTGGTTAACTATTAAAATGTGTAAAAAATTAATTGGGCAGTATTTTTATGTTATGGGGTGGCAAACAAGCTGATGGAACGCCTTATGGTAAGGAATCATTGCCGCTCATGGACTATCATGAGTGTTAGTGTCCATAGCAATCACCCGTGTAACACCAAAGTAGCTACAAGAGCGTTGCCGCCTTTTTGGCTAGGGATTCGGGGATGGAGGGACGGTTGGGCCACCCAGAACTGGGTTAATTTGTCAAACTGCAATAAAATAAACGACTATGATTGAAGATGAAAGAGTTGCACGCGGCGGGGTACTCGTTGCTGTCGATCGACGCGACCGGTCAGACCGCGCTGCACGTCGCGGCGCGGTACGGGAACAAGGAGATCGTGAAGTACCTCATAGCGTGCGCGCCGACCGCCATCCTGAACATGCGCGACAACGAGCGCGGACAGACCGCGCTGCACAAGGCGGCCGCGCACAAGCGCCGCGCCATCTGCTGCATGCTCGTCGCGGGCGGCGCCTCGCTCACGCGCCGCGACCACGCCGGGCTCACGCCGCGACATCTCGCACTGCGCGCTGAGGACCACGACTTGGCCGCATATCTTGAAAGTTAGTTCACATATCATCACTAGATGCTTTAAAAAACAATTTCTATTAAAAATAACAGTTCTCTACCTATGATGTTTTGGTTTAGAAACTGAATTCAATGAAAAATCCATAAAATTGTTTCATACAAAAGTAGTTTCTAGACATCGAAAATAAGGTCTACGTGGAGTAAGTAGAGAGCGGTCACCGGTGACCACTTGAAGATTGGGAATCGTAACGATAAACTGTGCAGTTTTGGCTGTAAATACACATAAATCGGTCCACCAGCCTACAAACTTTACGATTTACCTGTACAGACCGACTGCACAGTTTTCCTGTCGATTATCGTAAAATGTGTAACATGCATAAATAAAAAGTTGTGATCATCCCATTTAAACACAATAAGTAGCTATCCAATAGTGTTTTGTTTCTATACAAATAAAAAATATATCCTTTTTCAGGTCAGGAACATTTTCAATTAGTGTCTGAAGATTTAGAAACTGCCGTTTAATCAGTCGAACACATTGTCCGCATTCCCGGCGTGGCTGGAAACTACCGAGATAAGTCGTACCAGCGAACTAGTGATATAGTGAAAATGACTGAAGAATATTGTTCGAAACACCGAAGTGATAATCAGATCTGGTGTAGGATTATAATAAAAACATTTCTTTAAAATAATAATAATATTTGAAAATTTAACTTTAATCATAATTATATTTTCGTCATAAATTATAATATATTCTATTAATTTATTGAATTTAGTCGCTGTAAATGTTACAGATAATTAAACCAGTTATAGCCTACGAAACATGCTAACATTACCTATTGTTATTAGCGAGTTAATTCACTACCTTCGGATGAAACAAAAATACATTATCGTGCAGATGATTTCAAATAAATACACTTCCACGTTGAGATTAATCTGCGAGATAGTACATATCCGGGTATTGTGAAACAGGATGAAGCAATATTATGATAACGAGTTTTTAAAATTAAATGCATTAAATGATTGAAATTTCTCCCTTAATATCTTTACTGTAACATTTATAGTTGTAATTAAGTATGAATTTAGAATAAACACTTATAAGGTGAATCTTTACGCATTTTGTTTCAATATTTTCTCTTTTCTATTTAAAGGAGTGAGTGTTTTCATGATCTATGAAACAGCTCTGAAGTAAAAAGTGTGTGCCTTTCCCGTGCGTTGTACAAACGACAAGACAGTGGAATGTATCCCGCACTTCCATGTGAATACAAAAATGAGAAACAGCTACCTGAAATGTTATACGGAACGTGATAGCTCTTACAAATTGCGAATGCAGCTAGCTTGTGACTAAAGTGTGATTAATGTTTGCCTGCCACAAACTTATGCTCCAGCTCATATCAGACCCGCGTTGAAAACATCTTCCGATTCAAAACACAAACAAAATAAAACGTTCGTATAATGTTAGGCAACAGGCCCCTCATGTAAAATCAGTCCGATAGGTGAACACGTAAGGAGTGTGGGCCAAACATAAAGAAGATAATGCCGAGGGATACATTCACGCTGTCGACCTTTTGTGTTCTGTCAAAGGAACCTTTCTAAGTACTTGTATATTTTAGAATAAATTTTACATCGCTTTACTGACGAATCGCCTTTCCAGATTTCCTTATAAATTACTTCAATTATGAATCCATGGGACCCTAACTTACTCTTACTCTACGGAACGATAAGTCTTTATGATAATGTGAACATTACCTATGCGATTTATTCATCTTATGAATGCCTCTGTAGACCCAATGAGTACAGTTGTGATAGTACAATGTTTATGTTGCAAGTCATTCAATTTGTTTTACGTATTTTACACCGATGTGACTAAGTTATTTTGATAAAGCTATACTGTTTACTCGATCATTAGGCCTAAATACTTAAATACTGTTATATATTGTATGTATGTATTATAGAATTGTTTTTGATGCAATATTTCTTGTATAAGTGTCCTAATATTCTTGTTATTGTCTTCGGCAATAATGATTTAACTTCTAAGGCTAAATTTATACTACTGAGTTGTATGATACTGATAAAATCGGTGTCGTATATATTATGATCTCAGTACTTGTATGTATCCGTATTACGGTGTAATTTGTATTTCAGTATGTCCTAATAATGAAGAGTTGAGTATGTAATATAGTTTACTTGTTTGTTGTCCTATACTGCGTTACTATGGAGGTAAGTGCACTCACTTGTGGATCGTGTAGCTTGTAATGTGTCAGCGGCGAGCCGGCGCTGGAGCGGTCCCCGGCCGCCGGCCGCCGCGCCGCGTCCAATTGTTATTTATTATCGTCTATCTCCTGAATGATTTGTGCGTTTGTACGAGTTTGGATCGCTAAGTGTTGTTTATGTCTATTACGCCAATACCTCTACTAGTAGATGTACCTAATAGTTTAGTGTTTATCGAATTTACTCGTACTACTCGCTGACAAGCGAACAATGAAAGACAAAGCTGTGAGAATTTTGGTCGTAATGTAAAAATGTAAGTTCATTTATATCGTAAGTGAAACGATATGCAACATTATACTTAACACTGTTTTGTGAGTTTCTTAATTTGTGATTGTAGATAGACGTTTTTGATATTTACCGTAATATTATGTAGAGAATTAACTCATTGTTTTGAAGAGTTGACTATCCCTTCGGGCTTATTGCATTCGCGTTGCGAGTTACTCTGCTGAGATCGCAAGTACTTTCCTTCTAGAGCCGTCGAGCTCTTCACATTAATCGATGTCGCATTGGTTAGATAGTTAATTATAATCTACGAGCGTTACGTCTTAATAATATTAATATTTAAAAGTGAGATATTATAATAATAGAGCCAATTTGTGGGCGTCAGTTTAATCTTTAAATCGTTAGTGATACTTTTCCTATGAGATATTATTATACTTAGTCTTGTACATACCGTATTGGAGGCCTTCATTCAAGTAGTATAAAGTGTGACTCTTTACACGATTAGTCTAGTATTATCTCATGACCAAGTTCTGTCTAAGAAGGGAAATGAATATCACTAGGTTAAACATTTTGAGCTCTTAGGTAAGAGCTGCTTTTGGATCGAATATTTACTAGATTTATGAGAGAAACCCACTATTTTACCTGTGTTGCATATTTTTTCATACTGAACCTTTATATGCCTTCTAAGTATCATCATCGTCAGCGTATGTACAAGGTGTGAAATTCTGCATATGATAATCAACACATATGTTTTCGTTCCTGAAGATACTGCCTTATTCCAAGATAGTCTCTCTTCTCTTCAAGAACAAATTGGGTTTATAAGTTAATGACAGATTGTAAAAATCATCACCTTGTTAAATGAATAGTTTCGGTGACTTAATTTGTATTATAACTTGCGTGACTTTGGCGTATAGACGCCTACGTTAGCAATATATTAATACAAAAGAGTGTAAAACTCTATTACCGAGGCATACCTAGGCCAGCAGTCCTTATATTAATAACGACAGAAATTGCGCGCTAAGTTAGATTCTCCAGTAATAGATTTTCAGCTTTCTTCTAAAAGGAGGTAAGGTTGAAAATTTATTAAAGAAATTCACAATATGCGGATCGAATTTTGCCCTTACCGGCAGAGGTTAATATGTAGACTACATTCTTTAAGAGAACCTTTCATAATAATTCTATAACAGGTTGTGTTGATACAAGTATAATGTACTAAGTATCTGTTAATCCTCTGTTATTCTAGCCATATTTATATTAAATTATTGTACGATTAGTAAAACCAATGTAATTAATGTTTTTTTTTTAAGTTTGATCTATTTCCCTAAGCACATGCAGCATTCCATTCAAATTCTAGATACCTATTGCCTTTATATGTTTTATGTATTTTGACTTCGTCTTTCATTGTGTTATAAATTCTATTATTATTGTTATCTTGTGAGTATTAATAAAGTATGGTCGAGTTATTTAAATTTCGATATAAGTATACATTCTTATATGATCAGCTTGATTTTGGGATTTCGTCTTCGTTGTTGTTACGACAAACACTTTCAAAATCTCATCGTCAAAACGCTAAAATCCTATATGTGGAACTCGTTATATTGTTTATGTTCGTACATCATTACTTTCTCGTATAACAACATATTTTTGTTAGCAAAATATTTTCACCGTATCCTCGAAACGGAACCCCTATCAAGCGATCAAACTCGCATTTTCGAACTTTTTTTGAGCGTAATAATATGTAAATAGAATAGACCCCTGAGAATCTATGCTGTGCTGTTCAACGCGAATTATCTCTAGGTACATGAATAATAATTTACTACTTTCCACCCGATAATATTTACGTGCTAATGTTTGAACTGATCCAGTTTACTTAGTTTAGCTCTTACCTGCGCCTAAAGAGAAGCAGAACCAGAGTAAACCTATGACAAGATCACCATCGAGCACACGTCATGTGGTCTATTCAAGTTCCTTTAACGCGTGTACTTATTAAGGTAAAATGTATTTTAATCTAATAAACTTATGGTATATTATGTAAAAGACACAATCTTGTATAAATTGGCAGCTGCGACGTGAAGCGAGAGTGTAAGGGCACTGATCAATATGTATGTACTCACTGTGAGGTTAATTAAATGATTAATAGCTAATGTCGTTTCCTCCTAATTCACCTCCGGAGTTTGCCGAGAACCCTCTTTATTTCACTAACGAACACATTAGATTGTTCTACTGTATAAATGATTTAGCGAAGTTATAAATGTAATTGTTCCAAGGCACTAATCGGATTATATAAATAATGTTACCGATGTAGCTTCCACGTTGCAATATTTGTTTCCGATTATTTTTTCCCGAAAAAATAATAGCTACTACGGAATTTTGCTAGTAGAAACTTGACGCCCATAAAAAAGCAAAATACTCATGCCACAAGTATATCTTTGGGAAATATATTTGTCTTAAATCTTGGTTTCCTATTACAAAACATTTATCTTAAAGGAGAACATAAATACAAATGCTCTGTCATAGAATATGGAGTAACGTAGCTCCTGAAGATTTTCCCGATAAGCCGCCACATTTCTCCTCCGCTGCAACCTTTGGCTGCGGAGATTAAATGCATCGTGCGTCAGCTCGTATAAACTTAATCCGTATTAAAGCCCACTCCATTTACCCACTCAGGCTACACGTATTAGCTAATAAATAATAGAGATTTGCTCAATTACTACACCCCTACTATATACTACACCCATATTTTTAAATAATACTCCATTACCTAAGCTTTAAATCTTTATAATACAATCTTTCTACCTCATAGTTACTACATACATATGTAAACAGTGTGCAATGATATATTAACTTATTGTAAATCCTTGTACCAGTATATTACCTACGTAAATATAGCCTTTTTCAAAATAGTTTACCAAGGAGCATAATGATCTATTTAAGTAGGTACTCTTATGAAGTGTGTGTAACGACACTATCTACTTATTCAATTACTCTGTAGTAACAAACTGGATATTAATTACGTAAACTATTGAAAATTAAATGGTAATAAGTAAAATTAGAGTTTTGAGAGCACTAATTTCAATGTAAGTACATGATACTTATTTTTGCACTCAATAAAGTCACTATTTTAAATAAAATTATTAAAATCAAGTACACTGAAAGAACAATAAATAAAGTACGACCTAATTTGTGTTTTATTTTATCTTTCCAGTTTAATATTACCCATTTTTTACTATTATACAAGCACTAAAAATACTAAAGAGATAATCTGTGTATCTTTCTGAACGATTAGATCGGTTCTTATTGGTATTCATAAATTAATCTGGAATACTTAAAAGGTTTTCGACAAGTGACGCTGAGAGGAGCAAGATGACGTCAGGTAAGTAGCTTGTGTTAACTTAATTTACTGATATAAAAGCAAGAAGTACAATGAAATGTATTAATAATCACAAAGAGCGATATTTCGTCATATCTATTTCAAAAGTTACAAAGTTTCGAAGAATGAAATTACGAGCTAGGAAAGACTGTCTAAAAATTAAGGAATATTTCTCAGTCCTTTGTAATGATGTAATGGACACTTCAAAAGATATCATTTATAATTAAATTGTATTTCAATAAATGCAAATACAATGCTCTCAAGAAAAACATAATATCTTTTATAAATATTTTAATTACATTATTAATATAATATTGAGACGCATAAAATATTAGCTGCTACACACTGCTACGCCAGCGTAGCCAGCGTAGTCGCGCGTAGCAACGTTGCTAAGACATCTCTATTTCTAGTTCCAGTTATTTTCGACAAAATCAACTTAGATTAACAAAATTTTAATAAATCGTACCTATAAAATTGTATTAATTTACATCGATTTTCTTATAAAACATTCACGTTCACTATTTGACTTTGAATGTTCATAATGTGAACTCAATTCATTATTAAAATATTAACATAATCAAAATAATTGAGAATTCCTATAACTTTACATAAACGCAAAAGCTCTCAACGAATACAACACACTATTGCTCTAAAATATCTCACAAAATAGAAAAGCAACGGGTTTCCAGTCCAATAACAAATGGCTTTAACTACTTAGCCTCAAATAAACATTCTGCACGTCTGTATATTTGAGTATGTAAATGCATTGAACGACCTTAGGTAATTTAAGACCCTTTGGGACAAAGCTTAAAGCCTTTTTCCGTGCTACTTTGCATTTCAGTGACTGTACAGACGTAATAAAAACCTTTTTATTGGACCTGCGCTTTTCCTACCTCCTAACACTCAGCGATCTATTTATAATTCAAGCAAACTGAAATTCTAACTTGGCATACCAACAAAGTTGTATCAGTTTGGGATTTAAGCAAGTTACATAGAACCATTAGACCTTCAGACATTGAATATGTATGTTACTTTGTTGTTTCTTAGTTGAGTTATTTTGTATAGGCATTACTTCAATTTAATGGAAAATGATACTTGTTAGGCTCGTCTCAAAGGGTACGTGAGATGATGGACTTAACTAACTCTGTTACCACAGGTATACAATAAACAGTATATTATTGCTTATTGTATTTTTGATAGCAGCTTTTAGAATGTTTCGAATCGGAGATTGATCCTCGAAAACTAAGCCGGGAATAACTGTACCTACTTCAAGTATGTGCCGCCATAAAGTATCCGTGGGATTAATTGTAAAGTAGAGTGAATGAGTATTATCAACTATATGTTCTAGGTGCCAAATACAGTCTCTTTTTTTGCCTTTAGGATTAATTCATTCTGTCTCTTGCAGTAATTTACAGAGGGAAGTGGAAACTATCGTTTTTTTCTTCTCCTCTTATAATATCTTCTGATTCACTTCGTTGCGGGAATCAACAGTTATTCATGTCCCTGGGACGCGCTGGACTTCAGTGTTCCGGTGTTTTCATGGTTGTATCTACTGTAAATCCAGCATCTCAATGAGTCAATAATCTCTACAAAGAAAATTGTTTATACGTTTCACATCTCGTTTTGAAGGAATTTTCCAGATAGCGCCCTAAAATATAATTTGATATAGTTTTCTTAAATCTTCTCCGCTCTTTGTGTCAATATCACGCACAATATTCGACTTTACTACATTTTTATTTTCCCAGGTTTATGGACTGGTTATTAGATAAGGTTGGGAATATCTGGGAACGTCGAATAAAACGCACGTGTAACGTGTAGTGCCCTAACTTCGTGTATGTTACTATATACATTTATGATATACCATCATTTAATCTTGCCTGCTCAACTCGTAAAACTAACAACCGTGCAAAATTTCGTTGCGGTTACTTTATCCTGCGTCTAACATTCTACTCCTTACAAAGCAGGAAATCTTCCTACCACTGAACAGATTTGAAGGATTTATTCTTCCTATGAAGTACAATCACGGTTGTCTAAAGTGATAAATTCCATGCAGGTGTGTAACAAACCACTTTTACGTATTGAATTGTTTGGCCTTAAGTGTTAAGATACAGAAATAATGAACGTACTAAAATATTCTTTCAGCAATATAAAAAACACTCGAGAATTTCTGATTCAAACATTAGACCTCGTGCTCAGTAGACTACAAAACAACGGGACGGAATTTGATAAATTATGTATAAACTCAAAGCTACATACAAAGATAACATTCAAGCAAGTTTCGTGGAAACATAAATCGCGAGACTCATACAAAATGACAGGCCAATGAAGTCACGCGCGACCAATGCGAGACTCACGTCGCATGTTCGCAGCAAGACAACGAATGGGATGAAATAAAAATATGTATGCGACAGAGAAATGGTTGAAATGGATACTACAAACATTTTGAACTATCTACTTAAATATTCAATTTTCAAAGACTGGTAATAGCGCATAAATGACTCAATAAAATGATAAGCTGATGCCGTCGTCTTTCTCTATGAAAATATGGTAACTACAATAATAATTCTATTGCTATAAGTTTGTTAATTAGTTATGGTTCCACTGGTAACTTACAAGTTCATCAATAATCTATTAGTACAGATCCATACGTAACACAACTTACATGTATTTATTTGATTTTGATAATTTTATATAGGTAGCTCTTATATTATCCTTATTTACATTTAATCATACATTTTATTTCTTTAAGGATTAATACACTTCTACTTAATTGTTGTCACTTACCAATGTTAATTACACTTATCTGTATCGTGATAAAAATGTTGAAACGTGGATTAATTCAACAAAACAGAATAATTATGAAATACTGATCAATTCATTGTTTTTTATTTCATTTCATAAAAACATTATTCACTCTCTGAATCATTAAGTAAATATAATAAAAAAGTAAATGTTAAGGCTCATGTTAGGAGTCCATTGGTTGAGAAGGAAGGTAGATGAGGAATAGTTCTCCTGAAGTCGTCAACGGTACAGCAGAAGCTGTAGCCGATGTCAATGCGGTCAGGTTGCCAGCGGAGCCAGTTGAACGCGCTGTTGTTGCGGCAGCGGTCCGTGCAGAACTGACGAGCGCGACACTCCGCCAACGTGTAGTACGGATTGTTGATGCTAATGAATGCAGTACCAAGTCTCCGAGACGCATCATATGCGACCTAAAAAAATTTGTTAATCAATTCAAAAGAACTTTAAAACTCTCATTTACTGTTCATGGATAATTTTACCTTGTAGAAGTAGAGTGGTACGGGGATCTGGTTACGCTCAGGCACCAGGTAGATGTCGACAAAGCGGTTGTTCTGATCACGCAGCTGGGTCACACCGAAAGTTCCAGTATAGATGACGGTGTTGTATCCAGCAGCACCAATGCGTGCGCGGAGGTTCTGGAGGTTTCAATTATTATTCCAAATTAAAGTGATTATTCCAAAATCGTGAATATCTTGTTGCAACTGTTTAGAACTTACCTGTTCTAGCGAGTTCCAGTTACCAGCATTGAATGGCTGCCATTGAGGAGCAGCATTGATGAAAAAGAAAGTCGCTCTTTGGCCAGTAGCGAAGACGTAGTCACTTTTAGCAGCAAGATGACCACGAGACATGAACTGGTGGTTGGTAATATACTGGTTAGCTAAATTTGCTCCAACATATCGGGTGACGACAGTCCTCTGGTTGTTTTGAGTATACATAGTGTTGACAGCAACACCAGGGAAGAAGCTTCCAGCTGGAAAAAGAAATACATTTTCCTTGAATTCAGTTCAGGTTTCCAAGGTTTCGTAAACGTTTACCGAAAAGAGGCACTGATCGGACTTGTACCTTGCCAGTTAGGTCTGTCAACACCAGTTTGGTGAACCGCATTTTCACGAGTCTGGTCATACCAGACATACAATACTTCTAGGCGGTTTTGATTGAAGCAAGACCAGTACAATGGATGGAACACATTGTTGACAATGAACCCAACACTGGAAACAAAAAAAATACACGCACAGAATTAGAGTAAATAGTAAATAGTGATAAGAACAAAGCGACTACAAGTTACCAACCGGATGACAAGATTATTATTCCAGCAGCGAGTGGTAGTCCATTGAGCCTCTTCGTTTGAGTGTGCTGAACACGTGAGCTGACCGAAGGCTCCGTTCCCATTCAACCAACCAGAGCCAGAGACGAGGTTGTTGCTGACACATGTTGCTGTCTAAATGTGAAGGGAAAACGTTCCTTATACGGAAGCTTATAACGCGATAATACAGATGCCTATAACGCAAAAAAGTCAGTTTTTGGAAAAATCAAGTTGATTACTTACAGCAACATTTCTCGAAGCCGCAATATTAGGGTGTCGAATAGTCCTTCCAGAGCCAGTGCAAGCGATCACGACTTGTTCACCAGTGTTGAGGCGGATCTGACCAGTGTTGCCGTTAGGAGCCAAATATCTGTTGCCTCGGATGTAAACCGGCTGAGGTTGACCAAGATCGCCATTTATTCTGAACGTACATCCTATGCAGGATCATACAGATGAGGATAAAATAGTTTAATTAAAATACCAGAAGATTTGGATATTTTTTTAACATAGTAAAATGATTTTTACCGCTTCTGGAACCAGCTTCATAAAAAGAGGCATTAGCTGCTTTGTTCTGTTCAAGTTGCAGCCAAACATCAAGATAGTCTTCAAACTCCTCTTCGCCGAGAACCAAAGCCAGCTGTGCCGGCTCCGGTATTTCAGTCGGCAACGCCGTCACCGCAGCCACGAAAGCTACTAGCACTAACACTCTACGCATCTTTGAAGATGCCTCACACTGCACTACCAAAGTTAATAATCATTTCTACTGTTTTATACTCGTCTTCAGGTTGATGTTCAATAAATAATTATCTATCTTTGTTCGTATTGTCAGTTTTATCAGGAAAGACTTAACCGATTAATACTTCTTATCTCTTTTGCCAAAAATATCATTATAATTCTCGTGTATGTTCCGTAGGTGGAACTATCCATTTTAAATCTTAAAATTAAAATATTAATTTGATTTATTACATAATACAACTATTCGGAGTTTTTTGACTTGATGGTGATTGGAAGCATTTCGTGTGTACCTGTAGCTATTTGATTGATAAACTACTAAAAATCTCTCAGAGTAGAAAATGTGATTGCGAAACAAACATCTAATTCAGAAAGATATTTAGTTTACAGGTGCTTTTAACACATCTGATCGCGCCCAGGTAGAATTGATTCAAGACTTCAGCAGGTGCCGTCATGTCTAAGAAGAAGATTGTCATATAAATTTATGAGATATAAAAATAAATATTTTGATCCCTGAAAGCTAAATCAAATTCTATTCATCGACATATTTGCTCTTAGTTACAAGAATAACTTAAAGTAAAAGATATTTAAGAAAACATCCCACTTATGGTAAACAAAATACTTGGTCCGAAACTTATAGGATTGTGTCATCCCTTTTGGGTTATTTCCAGTTTTCGAGGAATTAATTATAATACGTCAATTTTTCATTCACGACGCGTGATCCCTAAACATGCTATTTATTTCTTTACTTAGATAAATAATTAACTGTTAATTTTGATAACCTAAAATTCGTGATCCAGAAATATTAATTAGATAAAGCAACATGCAAGTATGCGTATTCTGTGTTATAATGTAACGGAAATTTTAGATTACGGATTAGAGATTAGGATTTTGAAGATTGTTGGGGATTCAGGCTCTGTGGTGATTGGGGAAGGGGAGGAGAAGGAACCTCCGGAAAACTCACGCACACGACGAAACACAACGCAAGCGTCGTGTTTTCTGTGAGGCCATGGTATCGCTCTAGTCGAGCCAGCCAGTTCGTGATAATAACTGATTTAAAAAAGGGGGTTCCAGTCGGTTTTTTTAAACGCAGTTTAAGAAAGAATTATTATTATCATCAAGTCATCCACTGCTGAACGATAGGATAAGGTAGGATATAGGTAGTAAGGTAGGAATACCCCCCTAATACACTTTATAATTTCTTCCTTCCGATTTTGGTTATGACGGCCAGTCTCAAACAGAAACTAACCAATAGTGGATGAACTCAGTGGAGAATGTATAAAATGTATAAAATAAGAAAAATGAAATAAAAAGTGGTATTTTATATTTATAAATAGTGTATATTTTTAAAACATAATCCTTTTTTTAATTTATTGCAGAAAGTGTGACTAGCTTATGAAAGGAGTCCATTGGTGGTGAAGGAGGGCAGATGAGGAATAGTCCTCCTGAAGTCATCAACGGTACAGCAGAAACTGTAACCGAGGTCGATGCGGTCAGGTTGCCAGCGGAGCCAGTTGAACGCGCTGTTGTTGCGGCAGCGATCCGTGCAGAACTGACGAGAGCGGCACTCCGCAAGCGTGTAATAGGGGTTGTTAATGCTCACGAATGCTGTGCCGATGCGCCGAGACGAGTCATAGACAACCTGAATATTTTCAAAGAATTTAAATCTCATAATAATCCACAGGAATGTAAAAATAACCATTTACTTTTAATTGCCAAACTTTACCTTGTAGAAATAAAGTGGTACTGGGATTTGGTTACGCTCAGGCACCAAGTAGATATCAACAAAGCGGTTGTTCTGGTCACGTAGCTGGGTCACACCGAAAGTTCCAGTGTAGATGACGGTGTTGTACCCAGCAGCTCCAATACGAGCACGGAGGTTCTACAATTAGAAATCATTCATATTACTAATCGAATAGAATAGCTGGCTTGCAGTATAAAGCCTTTGTAAAATTTACCTGCTCCAGCCAGTTCCAGTTACCAGCATTGAATGGTTGCCACTGAGGAGCAGCGTTGATGAAGTAGAAAGTAGCACGCTGGCCGGTAGCGAAAACGTAGTCACTCTTAGCGGCAAGATGACCCCGAGCCATGAACTGGTGGCTGGTGATATACCTGTCAGCTAAGGTGGCTCCGACGTAACGAGTTACAACAGTCTTCTGGTTGGCTTGTGTGTACATAGTGTTGACAGCAACACCAGGGAAGAAACTTCCAGCTAAGATAAGTAATAAAAATATTATTAGACTCTTCTAACAAATCAGAAATTTGAAATACACAATATAATAAAATTTCAAATAAGGTTAAATTACCTAGCCAGCTAGGTCTGTCTACACCAGTTTGATGGACAGCATTTGCAGGGGTTTGGTCGTACCAGACGTATATAACTTCCATGCGATTTTGGTTGAAGCAAGACCAGTACAGCGGATGGAAAACGTTGTTAACGATGAAACCGACACTGGAAATGAAAATACGAAATGTTTTTTTTTATAAAAGCACATCAAGAATATAGAATGTATTTATAGGGTAATTAGTACTACCCACCGAATAACCATATTGTTATTCCAGCATCGAGTGGAAGTTCCTTGGGCTTCATGGTGGGCGTGTGAAGAGCATGTGAGTCCACCAAAGGCTCCATTTCCATTTAACCATCCAGCACCAGACACCAGATTGTTACTCACACACGTTGCTGTCTAGATGAAGCACAAGAAAATGTATTAGCACTAAACTCAGTTAAAACTTAATACATAATATCCAGCAAGACACTTACAGCAACATCTCTTGTAGCCGCGATATTAGGATGACGAATAGATCTTCCAGAGCCAGTACAAGCGATCACGACTTGTTCACCAGTGTTGAGGCGGATCTGACCAGTGTTGCCGTTGGCAGTTAAGTATCTGTTGCTGCGGAGATACACTGGCTGAGGCTGTCCTAGATCTCCATTAATTCTGAATGTACAGCCTGCATTAGAGATTTAAGTTAAAGGTACAACTGCTTAACAAGTTCTGCTGTATAATTTTTGAATAAAAATACAGGTTTGTTCTTCTATTATATTTAGCAGGTCCAAGTACGAATAATTCTATAAACCAAATGCGAGTTTAGATTACAATATTTTTTTGATAATTTACCACTGCGGGGACCGGCCTCGATAGATGCATTAGCGGACTTGGACTGTTCAAGCTCCAGCCAGGCATCGAGATAATCTTCAAAGTCCTCTTCGCCGAGAACCAGAGCCAGTTGACCAGGCTCCGGTATTTCAGTCGGCAATGCCGCCGCTGCTGCCAAGAAGGCTGCTAACACTAACACCGTACGCATCTTTTCGGACGCTACACACTGCACTACCGCTATCACTAATCATGTCTACTAATTTATAGTAATTCTCGGGTTAATGACAATATTATCTATCCCATTCTATTCTGTCCATTTTATCAGAAAAGCTGATTAAGATTTTATTAATCTTTTCGAAAATTTGACGTTCCGTAGTATTTATCAACAGACATCCTCTCCTTGTTAAATTGTACTAATCTTTAGTAAAAATTGCCTCGTTGGCTGAGTGGTCGCAAGTTCTCAGTAGTAGCACGGAGTCTGAAATTGTGCCCGGTATATGGCAATAGGCTCACCCCCTATTACATGGGACTCGTAACATAAATAGGGAAAAGTGGGTGCATTGTACAGTGACATTAAATGTCGTAATGTGCACCTCTGCACATCTGCACATCCATTCGGGGATAAAATGCGTGATGTTATGTTATGTCTAGTAAAAACTTTATGTTCGGGAAACGCTTATTATCATTATACTAATTGTTTGTGGTGGGACTGAATGTCTGAATAAAGCTGCATGTAGTTCAATGTCTATGACTTCCACGATTTAACTATGATTTTTGAATATTTGTTACCAAATTTTCAGGACTCTTCCTCTGATCCTTCAGCGTTAGCTTCCACCGAAAAGTAACACTAACCTCTTTTTAGAATATGTTGTTAAAATAACCAAAAGTTTGTACAAAACATTTATTTTACAATGGATCTCCAATTTTCTTGAATGTCCATCATAACGTCCTTATTAGTATTAAGATAAACATTACGTATGTGCGCGTGTCCATTGAATGTAATTATTTTCAAAAACTTCAATTAAATTGTTTACCGTTATCTATATATAACATTTATACGTCGAAACACGATTGTATACTTTTATAAGATTATCTAGATAAACAACTACCAGGTGCCCTTTATGTGGTTCATCAATCTTATATTTTTGATTAGCTTCTGCCAACGGCTTCGCCCGCGATCCCAGGGGTAAAATGCCTATGTATCACTTCAGATCATAGTCTACCTCTGTTCCGAATTTAATTCTGGACCCTTCAGTCGTTTTGATATAACTGAGTAACAAATATACACACGAACACATTAACTCACATATTTTCACGTTTATAATATCAGTTCAAGCTAATTTTAATCATCAGCCGTTCAGGTACAGCATAAAGTCCACCTATAACGATTTCTATGATTATTTTTTATTGATTAGGTAATAATGTGAACTTTTTTGAATTATGGATGAGTGAGAGTATTATAAACGTAAAAGTAAACAAATATAAGCAGAAAGCTCCGAACTGCTAAGCTATCGGGAGTTACACGTATTATTGTGAGTCAACCATAAAAGACAGACATATGCTGTTCTGAGATATTTCTTAGATAAATTGGCTGCACAAACGACGGAAGCTTAAAAAATGGAGTAATTTCTCCCGTTTTCCCAACATTTCCCTTTACTGCTCTTATTGATTGTAGCGCGATGAAAATTATACTATAACCTCCCCAGGAGTATGAAAAATAATTGTACCAAGTTTCGTTAAAATCCGTTGAGTGCTTTTTGTTTCCATAATGAACATACAGACAGACATACAAAAATTTTACTGATAGCAATTTTGGCATTAGTATCGATCACTAATCACCCCCTGATAGTCATTTTGGAAATATATTTCATGTACAAAATTGACCTGTCTACAGATTTAAAATAAGTATAGATAATGTTTTTGTTTTTGTTCCATGTGTTTTTGTTAATGCGTACCAGTAGCAGGTAATTAATTTCTAGGTTTACTTTTAGTTTTTTTATTTTCGTACTTTTCAGTTTACGGTCCTTCATCAAAGTTTATTTACCAATCACTGAGATACAGTACAATTATTCGATGATCCGAGGTTTCACAAGTAGGCTATCCATCAATCACCATATTATACATCTATAAGTTTTACCTTAAGCGAAGCAACCTTAATCTGTACTTTAACAGCTTCGATGTTCCGAGATTTTATAAGTGGTCCCATATGTCCCAAAGTCACTACAGCCGTGCCGTTAATAACCATTATAATTATGATATGGGGTGTAAAATTACCTAGAGGTGCAGATAACCAAGCGAGTTACAAGAGTTCCGGCTCGAAGCAGGGGTGGTTTTTAGTCAATAAGTGACAATCTCGCTTACTCGAGAAGGAATAATTTTCTCTCACAAAAACCCTATATTTTTTTAGATTTTATTATACCTACAAAGGATCTATTGAAACCTGAAAAAAGTACACCATAGTTTTGTTTCTAGTTCTACCTTAAAATTTTTGATTAAGTTATATCGCATAGTTAACTCTTTGACCTGCTTCTAAAGCATTAATAAATCGTTTTTCCGTATATGTGTAATTAGCTATTTTCATTCACAATCTGAACATATTCCATGTTCGAAGGTTTAATAAGTGGCCCACTTCAGCCAACGTCGTTTCAACCTAGTCCATCGATTACTAATACATATTTTATAGGGATAAAACTATAACGACTTAAATATTTAATTATTTAATTTTAGTTTCATGGAAAATATTGTTTTTGGTCATCTGTGACTAGAATTTTTACAAGTAACAGGCAGTATCATAATTGATTACTCCTAATTTTTACTTGACTCATAATGAAAAGTAATGATAAGATTGCAAGCATATCAGATTAAAGCATTATCTTAAACTGATATAGGTACGGAAACGAAGAAACCAAACAAAAAAAATAAAGCTGAAATATATTTATTTACAATAATATTTTACAAAATAATTTTTAAATGTTATTTGCATAATGCAGATTACAGATGGTAAAACTATATCCAATGCTTAAGCAAGAATTCCATTGGTGGTGAAGGCGGGAAGATGGGGAACAGTTCTCCTGAAGTCATCGACGGTGCAGCAGAAGCTGTATCCGATGTCAATGCGGTCAGGCTGCCAGTTAAGCCAACTGAACGCGCTGTTGTTTCGGCAGCGGTCCGTGCAGAAGGTCAGAGCACGCACCTCGGACTCCGTGTAGTAAGGGTTGTTGATGCTCACGAATGCTGTGCCGAGACGACGACCGGCATCGTAGACGACCTGAGAGCAAAATTACATTTTGTACAAATTGGATAGGTACATTGTCATGATATTTTCGAATAAAACATGTCGCTATGATGATTTTTACCTTGTAGTAGTACAGAGGAACTGGGATCTGGTTACGTTCTGGAACCAAGTAGATATCGACGAGGCGGTTGTTTTGGTCACGCAGTTGGGAAATTCCAAAGGTACCAGTGTAGATGACAGTGTTGTAGCCAGCAGCACCAATACGAGCACGGAGGTTCTGGAATTTTAAATTGTAAATAAAGCTTATGTCGCAATTTTAGAGCATGTTACCGAATTCTCAAACTATATCTTACCTGCTCCAGCCAGTTCCAGTTACCAGCATTAAATGGCTGCCACTGAGGAGCAGCATTGATGAAATAGAAAGTAGCACGCTGGCCGGTAGCGAAGACGTAGTCACTCTTAGCAGCAAGATGACCCCGAGCCATGAACTGGTGGCTAGTGATGTATTTGTCAGCCAAAGTAGCTCCGACATATTGGGTCACAACAGCTTTCTGGTTCACTTGAGTGTACATAGTGTTGACGGCAACACCAGGGAAGAAGCTTCCAGCTAAAAATAGGCAACAATGTAATTAGAAAGAAAGAAAGAAAGAAAGAAAAACCATTTATTTTGCTACGACACACAACAAAAATTTAGAAATTAGACTATTCTTTCAAATTCCAACTAATTTGGCAATTATACACGAAATAACAGTTCTGTTTACCTAACCAACTGGGCCTGTCTACGCCGGTTTGGTGAACTGCATTTTCGGGAGTCTGATCATACCAAACATAAATAACTTCCAGACGGTTTTGGTCGAAGCATGACCAGTACAGCGGGTAGAAAACATTGTTGACGATGAAGCCGACCCTGGAAATAAAAAAAAAACATGATGATAACTATGACGAACAAATGATAAAATTCATTCTTTGTAATTAAAAAAAATTATAACTAAATGCTAACCGAATAACAATATTGTTGTTCCAGCAGCGGGTGGTAGTCGCTTGAGCGTCATGGAAAGCATGAGCGGAGCAAGTGAGCTGACCGAATGCTCCGTTTCCATTCAACCAACCAGAACCGGAGACGAGGTTGCCACTCACACAAGTCGCAGTCTGCGGATGAAGTTAATAAATAATATTATTCTAATATTACATAACCAAATGATTGTTATTCAAACCAAAAACAATGTCCAGAATATCTTTTAAATTTTTTGCACAAAATCAATCGTTGGTTTTGTAACATTGTTGTTGTATTGAAACTATGTTTAACATATAAATAAATATCTTACAGCAACGTCTCTGGATGCGGCGATGTTCGGGTGCAATATAGTTCTTCCGGAGCCAGTGCAAGCGATGACGACTTGTTCACCAGTGTTGAGACGGACCTGACCTGAGTTGCCATCAGCAGCCATATACCTGTTTCCTCCACGGAGGTATACTGGCTGAGGCTGACCTAGGTCTCCGTTTATTCTGATGGTGCAACCTGAATGAAAGTAGCAACTGCTATAGAAATGTAAGTCCTTTAGCTTATGAATGATGAAATTTCTAATAAACGGAGGAAATGAGACTAGAAGTAAGAGAAATAAGTTAAAGTATTACCGCTCCTGGCATCAACGTTGGCGTTAGATGCATTGGCAGACTTGGATTGTTCAAGCTCCAGCCAGGCATCGAGATAATCTTCAAAGTCCTCTTCGCCGAGAACCAGAGCCAGTTGACCAGGCTCCGGTATTTCAGTCGGCAACGCCGCCGCTGCTGCCAAGAAGGCTGCGAGCACTAACACTGTACGCATCTTTGAGTATGGCACACCTTGCACTGCTGATTCAGAAGTTAGTGCCTACATTTTTATAGCTTACTCCATATTGTAATTGTTATCAAAACGAGATTTAACCGATTATTCATATTATCGTTCTTCTCGTAATATCTTGCAAAGTTGTTCCATTTTCGATTGTTCCGTATATTTAACGATATTTTATTTGTAATCCATTTTCAACATAATTCTGTCATTGGTGGTTTCGCATTGTTTCCTGCTGTAAATTGTTAGTTAACTTTCACTAAGTGATACACTTCGTTATTTTCTCTAGCAATGCATTCCGATATCATCGCTCTGCTGAAGACTCATTGTAGCATCTGTAGTGTGATGTTTGCTGTGTCGAAAAATGATAAATTAATGTTTTGTGTTTTGTCTTGTCATAAAATTATCAATATCTATTGCTTTATCAAGGATCAGAGGCTCGGCTGATCAGCAAGCACTTAATAAATGTGAATTATTCACAATTTAAACCTAAGCTTAGTCATCATATGGTTTGCATTACGGTTGGCGGTGTCCCGGAAGTATACCTTAAACACAAAACAACAATTTATATTTACTATGGATCTCTAAAATTGTGCTGTTACTCGATTCAATGTATTTGTACCTACATGATATAGAAATATATTAATTAGATAAGACTATACGTAAGTCAAATATGTACCAAAATACTTTATAATTAATTACGTTCTTTTTACGATAAAGGTTTTTTGTTTACACATAATATTAATTAAGATTTTTTATTTTACTTAATAAGAATATTTCGATTTCTTTTTAGAACACACTTTTGTCATGGAAGCAGGAGCTTATGGCATTCTTAACGTTAATATCGTTTAATAGAGACCGCTATGAAGCGACTTTAACTGCTCGCCTAGTGCTAGTATAGTTGAGTAAGACTCAACAGGCCAGTAATCCGACATAATCAGACTAATCAGACATCACATCAGACCGATGACTGCGTTAAAGCTGTAAACGAAAGCACAGAAATATTTACCGAGATATATTCGAGCTGTTCGTATCGCCTCCTAAGTGAATAACGTCAAAACAGACTAATGATTGTTTTACAGGAAAGAAAATTATAACTAAGTCCGAATTATGTCATAACTACAAACGTTAAATAAAACGAACTTGACAGAGAGAAAGAATGAAAGAACTTTCCTAAAAGTGTTTGAGTTAACATGATCCTATAATAGTAAAACTATTTTCATCTTATCTAACTGTGCCTATAAAGTACAACCATAACTTTATTTTTTCAAACTAGATAAAAGTAAGCAGTCTATTTTTACTTTCAGAGCAGCCTTAAACCCTTATCTTTTTGGATAGGACCAATCATTTGGCTTGGGTATATTTATTTATATAAGACAGCTTATAGTTTTTGAACCTTTGCGAAAATACGGTCAATGGCTACTTGTGATTGTATATTTGTATACAGGATTTGTCTGGAAAGGAGTTGGCATTTACTAATCTTAACTTCCAACAAAGATATCGCATACATCGGAGAGTGCGTATCAATACGTATTTTTATCGTCTTAATTTGTGACGTAATGTTTGGGCTTGATAATATAAGTTTGGCTGGCCATTATTGTTACGATATTTTTATGTTAAAAGTACCTTGGCTTGTGACATCGCCATCTTAACCTCATCAAATGCGTGAATTCAACTGAGAAGGACAATTAATTTCTTATTATATATGAATTAATTTATATGGCAACCTTCCCTTCTATAATAACGCATTTCTGTACAATTCTATGTTTGTATATTCAAAAATCCCTATTCGTACTCAAAAAATGAAATGGAATATTTCTGCTAGCCTTTTTGGGTTAGGTTTTGTTTAGCTCTCAAACACGTTTGACTGAATATCTACAATCTGCCCATCATAAGTTTCTAGAAGCGAAATAATAGGTATTCTTTGTTAGAGCTATTGTGGGACTTTCGAGCTTTTGAACTGAAGTCTGATGACGTCAAAGTTTTAAGCATAGAGCACACTGCTAGCTAGCGATCGCGGATCGTTTCAACTTAGGTGCCTAGCTACCCTAATATTACCGTTTGTATCTCTGACTTTTGACCAAGTTTGTGCAGGGTGTAAAGCTTAGACAAAGTGCAAAACATAATAGTATATCATACTATAATCCATTCTATCCGTTTTATTAACAAATGCATCGAGTTTAATAACATAATAAGTGGTGAGCACAATTATAAATGTTATCACAATCCTTTATTATTTTAATCTCCAATTTAATGACATCATTATTTTTTCGAAATCTGGTAGCATGCAGTAGTTCAGCAAATACCAAATTTGCTGAATGAATGATTTTTTTAAATAATGTTGCTAAAAGTAAACAATGTTTTTTTTATAATGATCGACATTCATCAGAAAATTTTTATTTCTGACGAAAACAAGTTTTATTTATTTGAAAATGTTTATTTTGTAAAATAAATATTTAATTAAAGAATATTGTCAATTTTAAATACAATTAGTAGGTATTTTATGAGCAATACGTAAGTTAATAAAAACAGTTTTGTTAAGTAGGTAATAAACCGGTATATTTTGTTAGTTCCACGAATACTGCTTTTGGACGTAATTTGTTATTTAGATACCTAATCGTAAATATAGCTTACTTTTCAATTAATTAGCGAAAAACACGAACGAAAATTAAAAAAAAATGCTGGTTTTACATTGTACAAATATTCTCTGCGTACAATGTCCGTGTGTTTGAAAAACATTATAAAGAGCTACCTTCATTTATCTGTCTATTTATCTTATTATTTTATCTGTTTATAAATGATAACTTTTATACTGTCCGAAACAGACAGAGGTTAGACAGAGGGGACAGGTACATCACTTAGTACCTATAAACAAGGTGGGTGTGGTCTATATGTTCACGTTTAATCCGGTATATCCGAAACATTAATCAGTTTCGTGAACAAATCTCATTATAATTACAATTTTACCTTTAGTCGTGTTGATAACAAGCAATGTTCAGCAAATGTGGGCTGGTGCGTGACCAACAAGTGTGAGATATCGAAATATCCATCACAATTATTGACATTATCGTTATAAATCGCTTATTGTTTGATTATAATTTTACACGATAGTTAATGAGGATTGTAGCAGCCAAACATTGTGCCTACAACTTTGAATTTCAAAATAATTAGATCCGTAGAATACACGATCCTACTTTGTTTTTGATCCTTTGATCTCATTTTACGACAGATTTAGAGAGACAGTAGGTAATAGACCGCAGACTGTTATTTTCATACAAGTAGGTACTTCAGACAGAACGTAAATCATCAGCTTCGGAACATTGGAAACAAATCTTTCAAGACACCCACAACATACAAAGATGATTCTTAATATAACTTTTTACAATATAACATAACATCACGCCTTTTTAACCTCGAAGTGGCAGTCGCAGTTGCGACCACTCGGCCAACGAAGCAGTCAGTGTCAAAAAGTCAAAAATGTATAAACAATTTTTAATAATATTTGACAATACAAACATTAGATACATATCACATCTGTAAGTCCTGAATAAAACAATAACAACAGTTGATGCTATCATTATTTCCTTATACAAGATTGTGAAATGTTCCACATTCCACAATGCAACCAAGGCATTATTATACGTTAGTACGACTGCTCTCTTTGTCAAGAGTCTCTTAGTATTGTTTCGAGTTCACACTTAGAAGTCGTTGAGAGACTGTCGAAGTCGGATATATAATGTCGGTTCGTTCGACACAATGGACAATGTAATGTTCTCAAGAATACTCGCTGTCCTCTTCAGTTCATAGCCAAAGAAAAGAAACGAAATGTTACACTTCAGCCAAGAAGATACATAGAATTGAATTCAGTTTAGCTATCTTCTCTCATCTGTGTTATGCTCTAATACACCACTTATTTCCATAAAAGTGAATATAATCATACATAATGTTGTCAGTCTTTTGGTAATGTGCCCTGGTGACAGTGATGCGGACGATAAATGTTATTTCTGCCTATCCAGCAAAATATTTGTGATTTGTGTTATTTATATGGTACAATAAAGAGATTTTCTTTTCTATTCTGTCTCGTTGGCCGAATGGTCGCAAGTCTACTGGGCAAGGGGTCTTGGGTTCGATTCCCGGGTCAAGCAAAGTATTACTGGGTTTTTTTTAAGAAATTCTCAGTAGTAGCACGGAGTTTGTAATTGTACTCAGTATATGGCAATAGGCTCACCCCCTTTTACAAGGGACTCATAGCATAAATAGTGAAAAGTGGGTGTTACATCGTACAATGGCATTAAGTGCCGTAATGTGCACCTCTACCCACCCCTTCAGGGATAATGGGCGTGATGTTATGTGTCTTTTCTTTTCTATTCTGTTCTATTTCCTCCATTTTTAGAAGTCGATAAAAAGCTGTTTATTGCATAATGCTGACCAACAAAACACTAAACGCAGTTCCATATTCCTTGACTTTGACCATTGCCACTCTGGTCCTTAACAGTTTGATCTCAAGATAACACTAGTCAAAGTTTTCGATCTAAAGTAATCAAAACTTACTGCACGATTCTATATCAGCTGTAAATTATTGGAATATCCAAAACGTAATTGAATTAATTACTACAAGATAAACTAAAAGCTATTACCATCTACGATTGCTATCTATCTACAGTATATTTGTAATACATCTTTCATAATACACTACCGGTCAAAAGTTTCAGACCGCTGATTAAAACTATTGTTATCAGTAAATATTTTATAAATTATTGATAATAAAAAGCAATCTGTACACCTGCATATTCTATTGTTCACAATAATTGTCTAAAAGCTCATTTTTTTGTTTAGTAGCCAATGAAACGACAATAAACAAGCATTGTATCCAAATTTCAATATCGGTCTTCCGCCGAGACGTCGGCCAACAAATCGATTAAAAAAAATATTACTAGTGCAGGCAACTGTTTTAAATTGTCAAAATATTTTCAATTATTATTTTAACCTTGAATTTT